AGCCTTGCTTGTTGGTATCACTGGGAAGCGTTGATCCAATTGGCTATGAGGATCAGAAGTGTCTCAGCTAGGATGGTTTCTGTATTCTGCTTAAAAGGGGCAGAGTCTCGGGGTAGCACAGACAAGCTTTGTTGAATTGGTTGCAGGCTCGCATACCTATGCACCTATTTGGTATAGGCACAGACAAGCTTTAAATTCCTGTCTGTCACTCCCTAGGAGAGTCCCATTCACTATGAACGAGAAAGCTAGCCACTGGAAGGGCTTCTGTGCTCTGCTTGGATGGGGCGGAGTCTCGGGGTGGTGCAGACAAGTTTTATTCAGCTCCTCCCTACGACAGTCTGGTTTCTGAGTCCTGCAATAATGGCCGCTGGCTTCACACACCTCTGAGAGATCTCTGCCCACTGCCTGACAGTCTGGCCTCTCCCTGTCTGGGGCCGTTTATCAGCGCAATTGGGTGGTTCTGTTTTCCTCCCGAACTAGAAAGCCAGCTGCCGTGCATTAGCTGTCCGCCCTCTCCGCGCACCGGGAGTAAGCCAGTAGCGAACTCGGCCCCCCCTCTCCATGCTCCGCAAGCAAGCCGGCAGCAAAGTCGGGCGGCCATCTTTTCGTGTGCACAGTTCTCTGTACCTTCACAGTTCCTGAGGTTCAGCGCGCCTTCTTTCTCCTTCCCAGATGGTAGAGCCTCCTCTCAGCTAGCTGTCCGGCGCTTCAGGGCGATGTTTCCCGTTTTTCAGTTCTAAATTCAAATTTGTTGTGGTAGGCTGCATTCGGGTGTCTACCCTATGCCGCCATCTTGGTTTCTCTTCTGTTTCATTACATTTTAATTGTGGAGTTTTTTCCTCTTGTTTCTTGCCTTTAAAAGAAATGTTTTCTGTATGACCATAGATTTTTATAGCTTGGTTTAGAATTTTCAGTAAAGCCAGAGTAGATGGTGTTTGTCACATTTTCAGAATAGACCTAAAGAAATGTTTTGATAAAAAATCTGATGGTTTGCTAAAGGATTACTTCATCATTCAATTCAGATAGGTCAAATAATTCTGGAGACAGCTGTATTTCAGAAATGAATTCAGCTTTTTAAAAAATTGCACTTAAGCCAGCACATTACAAAAGTGCTTCCTTGTATTGATTAACAGATGAGCTGGTTTAGAATTGTTTTTAGACATGAAAAGGTAATTATTTGCCAATATGACTTACAAAAAAGCCTTATGTCTGATTAAATATAAACAAGACTTTTTTTTAAGTAAATTAAGTTGCAGCTATAAATAACATTTTTCACCCCAGTTAAAAATAATAGAAATTTATTAGAGCCTTGAATTTTATTACTGATTTACTGACTTACCCCTTTTTATATTATTTTTATAATTTTACTGAAAATTTGCCTTTGAGGCTTTTCCTAATACTCATAAAAATTCTAAAGTGAACATTAGCTTTAACAATAAAAGTAAATTAGCACAGAGAATTGGTTTTTTAATTAGCCACAAAAACAATTGAAAAAGATAACAAGTCAGAGTTCCTTCCTATGTCCTCATGTTTTTTTTAATTCTTTTTATACACAGACAAATTACTATTTCTAAGAATGACTTAACCATTTCTGTATTTCATTTTAATAGTAACTGCTTATTAAATATGATACTATCTTACAAATAAAGTTTGGCATACCAGTTATTAGTATTGAAAGTAAATAATGTATATTAGTGATATCGTTTTGATTTTTAGTTGCATTTTCCATCTCTTTGTTCAGGCATTAGAACTATCCCAGAATGGGAGGCAGATATTATGATGATATTTGTCACCATATTTTTCTGTCCTTGTCTGAATTTCAGCTTGCCCTCTAACTCAATTTATAGATGTTCATTTGCCCAAACAAATTTGTAGTTAGTAGCAGCCAACAGCCAGAATAGGAGCAAGATTCTTGGGACACTTAATCATTAGAATCCCACTTTCCCTTCCCCTCTCTTCTCTCTTCTAATAACCCATCTTTTATGGTGAAACTATATGATAATATTTTAAAGTTATGCAAATGATAGTTTGTTGAAAACTGTAAGTCTTACTTATAGGGATGGAATTTAATACAATTACCACCCAGAGTCATTAATGCAGTATACTTTTGCTTGCTTGCTTGCTTATTTTTTTAAATACTAAATTGAAATAATCATGAAATAGTTCAGTATGTTTAAGTAAAATAAGTTAAATGTATTTCATTAGTGTAAACAGTTTTTAAAATAAGAAAGAATCTGTAAGTATCTTTTAATAGATGTTTAAAACGGTTCTCACTTTTGTCTTGTTTCCTGGATAAGCACAGAAAGAAGAACAAATTTTAAAAAGTCAAGGTCTATAAAGATTTAAACAGCCGTTAGTTTGCCTTGTTAATGTTCTTCAAAGAAATTCCAAAGTAGGGGCTTTGACCAAATGGGACAAATGTCAGCTATCCTAGTTAAGTGTTATGTTCTTGCTATTCACTATTTGCTTCTATTTTAAAATCTAATAATTTCGATTTTTAAAAATAACCTGTAGAATAAAATATTAGTATACTATCTTTAGGATTTGGAAAGCTCAAGCCTGAATTGGTGGAAAATGTTAATTTGATGTCACAAAAGGCCCCAAATATGTTCTTTAAAATAATAGGTATAAAAACCTAATATGGTTAGATATTTCCTGCTATTTAAATAGGTAAAAATCACTTAATTCTAGGATATTGTTTTTCAATTAGATTCCAGTTTGCTTTTGAATACAAGATAAAGTTGAAATATATATATTTTTATTACTATGTAGTAAAAAAGATGAACTACAATGCCAGGTTTTAAATTAGTGAATTTAAAATGGAGAGGATTTTTCTCTTTAGTTGAATTTTCAGAATCTAAGTTTGGCATCCCAAAGAAAATGTTTCGTTAGAATTGATTGTCCTATGTACGGTATTTGCAGTCTCCATTCATTTTGCTCAATTGGAAATTTGTTGTTGTTGTTTTTTCAGTATTGCTTTCACTGTTTGGGGTATATCCTTTTATTTGTTTGTATTATTGATTTTTTTTCTTCAGTGTCTTAGAGTTTTCTGAGTACAGGTCTTTTATTTCCTTAATTAAATTTATTCCTAGGCAATTTTTAATTTTAATTATAAATGGAATTGTTTTCTTATTTTTTTCTGATTGTTCATTACTGGTATATAAAAATGTGTTATTTTTATATACAGACAAATGATTATTCCTAAGAATGATTTAACTATTTCTGTAGCTCAGAATGCTATCGATTTCTTTATTAATTTTACATCCTGCTACTTTACCAAATTCATTTATTAGTTCTAATGCTTTTTGGTGGAATCTTTAGGGTTTTCTATAATTGTACTATGTCATCTGCAAACAACAACAATGAATATTGCTTGCCTTGAATTGGAATTGCACTGTGTGTGTTGCTTTAAAAGCCTCGGGAGAGTTTTGCCCTGGCCAGTGTTGCGCATTGGCCTGTGCACCTAAGGGTCCAGGGTTGGGGTGCATTCAAGAGGCAGCCAGTCTATGAGTATCTTTCTTCTCTCTTTCTCTCTCTCTCGCTCTCTTTTCTTTACCCTTTCCCTCTTTTTCGCTCCCCCCTCCCTCCCTTCCACTCTCTCCAAAAATCAGTGGAAAAAATATCCTCTGGTGAGGATTAGCAAAACCAAATAAAAATTCTTGGTTTAATAGTTGTAAATGTGTCTTTAGGTGGCACACCTAACAGAAGCTAATGTAGTCTCTTACTTTAACTCAAGCTTAAAAGAATTCCCACACATAAAGTTCCAAGAAATATTAGCTCAGAGTAAAAAAATCACAGAAGATACAAGGAATGAAGGTGCTTTAAGCAAGAGCCAGCAGAGACAATAAGCAGAACAGAACCATTAAGACATCAGGTTTTGGAGTTACATACTCTACTTATGGTATGATTAGATAAATAAAAGAATGATTTGAAACTATGAGTAAAAAGTAATGAATTGCCAAAAGAAAGACAAGCAGATTTAAAAAAGAACCAAATTTATGTTCTGAAAATGAAAAATAATTATATATTTAAAATTCAATATATGTAACAAGTAAGATATAGATTGAAGAAACTATGCAAAACATAGCTCAAAGAAGCAAAAATATGGAAGACTATAAAATAAGTGCAAAATGGAGTGAAAAGATCTCTCTTAGGTCTAATTAGGAACACACTGTGGCAAAGGCTTTTGGAGCATTTCTGTTGAAAATTTTTCAGAATTCAGAGAAAACACCAAATATTTAAGAATTTTAACCAGAGTAAATAATAAAAAATGCCCATGCATATATGTAATGGTGAAACTGTGATATATTTAAGACAAAAGATCTTTATTTTTTTTTTAAACTGTGTTTTTATTGATTTTAGAGAGAGAGGAAAATCGCCAGTAGGGGCAAGAGCCCCAAGTGGGGCATAATGGAGTGCCAAAATGTATCTAACAATAACTATAAATTCCGAAGAATAATATTTCATTTTAATATAGCTTTTTCTTGTTAACTCATATAGGTTTGTGATAGACAAATTGGAAAATGCAAATTAAAGAAGAAAGCAAAATTATTTTTAGTTTTAATACCCAGACATAAATATGGTGTATGTTTTTGAAATGTTTTTTTCTATATACATATGTACTTACATAATTATATAAAATATTCCTTCACTTAATATATCATGAACATATTTTCATATCAAAATCTGTTTTTAACTATAAAACTGTAACTATACCATAAGTTATTTAACCATTCTTTAATTGTTGTGTCATACTGTAGAGAACATTCATCTGCATATCTCAAGAAAAAAAATTTTGAAGCAAAATTATGAGTTCAAAGATTTTGTACATTTTTATGGCTTCTGGTTTTATAGAAAGAATGTACCAGTTTACATTCTCTTTGAAGTATTAAGAATGTCTAATTCCTCATCTCTAATATTTATTGTAAAGTTTTCCATCCTTCTTCCCATATATAGAGATTCAAAATCTAATATGATGACCAAGTTATTTTGTTTTTCAGGAGATGATTTTTCTTTGATTCAGCAAGAAATATTTATGGTTAAAGAATGTAAACATTGCAACATTGTTGCCTACTTTGGGAGCTATCTCAGGTAAGAAAAAAAAACCTTCTGATCTCTCTTTGTATTTCTTTGCCACCACTTTCCCTTTTATGTCAGTGATGTTATACACATAAATTTTAAAAATTATATTGTCTAAAGTTCTAAAATTTCTTAGGTTCTCTTATTGCTTCTCTCTATATTACTATTAACACCTCCATATATGCAATTATGCCTTATCTGGCAAACTTAATGAAATATTATGAATGATTACAAGTAATAATTTTAATTTAGCTTATAAAAGATGTCAGATTCCAAACTATGTAAGATGGGAACAATGCTGAATTCAGTATATTTTCTGTAGCTTGAAGAGAGACTGCCACGGCAATTTTCTGTTGCGATAATTCATCCTAAATCACATGTGTCAAACACAAGGCCCTCGGGCCAAATCCATCCCGCCAGGCCTTGCAATGTGGCCCGCACCGCGCTGTCATCACTGCACTCCGCTGCGTTTCCATCACAATGACAGTTTATGACTGTTCAGTAAACCATTCGGCCCGCAATTTAGGCTGGATTTTAGATTTTGGCCCCTTCTCTGATTGAGTTCGACACCCCTATCCTAAATCTTGGTGTGCTGAAAGCCTTCACAGTTGTCAGTGGTTGAGAATTACTAGCTAATGTACTTTTCTTTCTCTTTCATGTTAGTCGGGAAAAACTGTGGATTTGTATGGAATACTGTGGTGGCGGATCACTTCAAGATATTTACCATGGTACTATTAATTTGTTTTTATATTTTGAGACTGACTCTGATTTTAATGTGTTGTTTGACATGTCTCATTAACCAGGGATATTAACAGGTAGATTTACTGTTTTACATTCATCTGTTCTGTTCCTGGAGTATTGCATGAAAGAAATTTAAATTTAATTTTTGTTTATTCAGTTAAATTTGCTGGAGCCTGAACTGAGAAAGTCAAGTGTACTTGAATAATCCAAATTTTACTTCTTAGATGTAGTTTTTTAGGAAGGTATTTTTCTACCAATAAAACTGCCTAAACTTCCTTGTAAGTACGAATTAAAATGCCAAGGGTAATTCTCTCCTAAAAGAAATTATATACCTGTCTTAATATTTTAACCTGCTAGGAAAGCAATTTACCATAGTTGTTGCTGTAATATTTTTGTTTAGCATTCTGTTAATTTCGGCACTTTTTTTTTTGTTGAATTTGATTTTACTGCATAATATTATGTAGAAATATAGTTTTCTTTTGTTTCTACAATTTAGCTTCCAGTTTGTTTTGTTGTTGACAATTTTCTGAATTTCTAGAGCTTATAAGACTAAGCATAGATTCTTATAAAATAACTTTCTTTATTTAACTGGATATAGAATAGTAAAACTATTGCAATTACGTGTTGTATAATTTATTATGTATTTTTAAACATTTAAGAAGTGTTTTTTAATGTTTCTATGCTGAAATCTTTATATTGAAAGCCTTATAAAATTTCATGCAGCTTATAAATGCAACCGTAGTACTTCTAAAAACAAGTGCTATAGCCATTGAAATAATATATGTAGATTGTAGAGGTCAAATTTTTAATTGTCAGTCAATAAAGTGGTGGTTAAATATACACTGCATCTATAATATGGAATACTATGAAGCAATTAAAAAGATGCAGTAGTTCCATTTATATTGTCTGGGGTATATTGCTCCAAGGACATTTTTTTAAATGAAAAAAATGAATCATGAAAAAAATTGTATAACATAATCATTCATACTTAGATGTAAAAGTATACATACAAATATAAATGCACACCAAAATTAAAGGAAACATAATCAAATTGATAAGTCATTACTGCTAGAGAGAAGTGGGATTCATAAATAAAAATTTGAATTATAAATGTATTGATATTTTATTTAATTATACATTAATAAATATAATAATTATCTAATTTTATCACAGAAAATAAGCCATGACAAAAAAAGATTGTGATGTCTAAACTCCGGCAGCTATCTCTTTTTTTTTATTTTTTAGAGAGGGAAAAAGTTAGAGAGAGAGAAAGATACATCAATAGATTGTCTTCTATACATGCCCTGAGTGGGGAATGACTATTTTTATTTAAAATAATATTTAATACCACATAGTTGCAGATAAACAAAATAATAAAGTGCTTAAAGCAAAAACTAACCTCATGTTTTAAAAGAGAAAAATAAGATTTTTCTTAATAGTAGTCTATTATTTTCTTATGTATTATATCATAGTATCGATAGAATGACTGTTCTCTTTTATTTTACCCTGTTGACTTTAAATAATTATTGATAGAAAATAGCTTATGCCACTTGATTTAAATGTGTTTTCTGTGGCCGTGACTGGGTAGCTTAGTTGCTTAGAGTGTCATCCTGATATGCCAATGTTGTGGTTTTGCTTCTCAGTCAGGGCATATACTAGAATCAGCCAATGAATGCATAAATAAGTGGAACAGATTGATGTTTTCCTCTCTCTCTCTTTCTCCCTCTCCTTTCCTACTCTCCCTTTCCCTTTTCTCTCTAAAAAAATCAATAAAAATAAAAACTAAAAAAGTCTCCTCTATGATAATGAATAATTATCTTTCATATAGAGTTTTTATACAGTAATTATAATTTTTATTCATCGCACTATTACAGAATGAGAACCCAATAATATGGATAAATAAAACTATATAGTTGGCATTTTTTTCATTACGCCTTATGTTCAGTTAAAGAATTGTTTTGAGACATTAATTTTATCTTCATGAAGTTTCTACTTTCCATTATTAAAATCTGGTATTTGTTGAATTAAGTCGAATCTTAAGTAGTATTCATTTCTATAAATAGTATATTAGATAGCATAGTAATCAAGAGCCTCTATACTTACAATAAACTATTAACAAAGTGGCTTTTCTTCTTTTACTATGATTTCAAGTTACTAAGAATCAAAAGTTTATGTTTCAGAGTAGGTGTAGAGACCTAGTGATTAAAATGTGCAGTAAAAGATTAAAAGGAAGTACCTCCTTTGGTTTCACTGTCAGCACACACCACTCTAGATTTCAGATATTGGGTACATGCAGAAGGATTTTGTATTTCATAATAGGGAGAGATCTGGTTGCCAGAAGTGATCTGCCTCCTTTTTAAACTCTTAGATAAGGTACTGGGTCAAGCCTCTATTTTGACAGCTGTAGTAAAGAATTAAACTAAGGAAATAATGCCTTGCTATGGCCCTCATGGCTCGGTTGGTTGGGTGTTGTCTTGTGCACTGAAGTTCGCCTTCAATTCCTGGTCAGAGCACGTGCTGCGTTGCCAGCTTGGTCCCCAGTAGCGATATGCAGGAGGCAGCTGATTAATGATATGCTCTCATCATTAATTTTTTTCTCTCTCACCCTTCCTCTATATAACATAATAAATTAATAAATTAATAGTAGAATATTTTTAATCTGATGTATTACAATGTGATTTTTTTTTTCTTTTTCTTTTTAGTTACTGGACCATTATCAGAATTGCAAATAGCCTATGTATGCAGAGAAACTTTACAGGTACTACATTTACTTATGTAGCTAAAAGGCAGGTCTCCTTTCACAATTGAAAACTATAAAATGATGATGTGCACAAAAGAGTGAAAACCAGTGTTTTTTCTGTTAACTTCTCATATTGTAATCCTGTAAGCCTAGTTATTTCTTTCACGAATGATTGATAGGAATTCTTGTAAGCTGATGCTGGTATACACAGTGGTCTTTTGCCATTTTTCTCCAAAAGAAAATAAATTAGAATAACAATTACTCAGAATGTTATCTGGAAATCCTGGTTCTGTGTGATATTAATAAAAATCATTGATAGCTGAATCTTTTTTTTTTTTTTGTAAAGAATTTTTGTGAGTTTATTTGAGCTGAATCTTTTTTTCTAAAAGCTTGGTAAATATCGTATTATGCAGAGGTTTCTTTATTTCAGATCTGTTGGTGTTTTTAATATGTTAAAGTAGGTTGTGAATCTTCTATAGCAGTGGTAGACAAACTCATTAGTCAACAGAGCCAAATATCAACAATACAATGATTGAAATTTCCTTTGAGAGCCAATTTTTTAAAACTTAAACTTCTTCTAACACCACTTCTTCAAAATAGATTCGCGCAGGCTGTGGTATTTTGCGGAAGAGCCACACTCAAGGGGCCATGGAGCCGCATGGGGCTTGTGAGCCGCAGTTTGTCGAACCACAGTTCTATAGCATACAGTTTGCAGCAATTCTCCCAATATGTTTATCTTTTCACTGTCCTGAAAGACTACTTACTCATTGAGAAAATCAGCAATTCACAGTTTTGTTCATATACTTAAAATATTTAAATTAGAAAAAGGGTTAGTAAGTTCTAGTGCTTCTGTTTATTATTTTGTTCATTTACAACTGATCATTATTAATTGATGCTTATATCCCTACATATCCTACATTGTATAGCTTGTTCAGAAGTGAAATTAATAGTTCTGTATGTTCTTCCATATAAAGGAGATTGACCTGATTTCGGAGAAAGCTCTAGTCATTTTGAAAAGATTTAGTTTCCACATGCTTTAAAAGACATACCATGTTAAATCTTACTGTTAGATATATGAAAGTAAATTCCATATATATTGAATATATGTAATTTTTTAACATTCACATAGCATAGAAGTCTCTTTGTATCCACATACAATACAAAGCTAATCATATACTCATAGCAGAGAATTATTGACATTAAATGTTTTATATTTTAATTTGCCAAGTTCATTTCTTGTGTAGTAATGGACAGAGTACAGAATGGAAACAGTAACTTGCATATGCATTCTTGTTTTGGTTTATGACCATAATTTCTTCTATAGTTCTAGTTCTTCAAGGATAAAATGAATCGTTGGAAGGGATGGCCTCCAAGATTAGTTCCAATTTTAAAATCTTATTATTCTCACAAATTTCCTCCTCTGGTTTCTGAGTGGTTAAAGAAGGTGTGATACACACACACACATACATACATACACACACACACACACACACTGCAATATAATTCAGTCATAAAAAGAGGGACTCCTGTTATTTGTGACAACACAAATGAATGTGGAAGACATTTTGCTAAGTGAAATAAGCCAGGAACAGAAAGATAAATACTATATGATCTTACTTATCTGTAGAACCTAGTTGAATTTACAGATGCAGAAAGTAGAGTGGTGGTTGCCAGGGCCTGGGTTAAGTTGGGGAAGAGAAATGGGGAGATGTTGATCTAAGAGTATAAAGTTGCAATCATATAGATTAATTACTAATGTATAGCATGATGACTAAAGTTAATACTGCTATACTGAATACTGAAAATACTCTAAGAGAATAGATTTTGGGTGCTCTCTTGACAAAACTAGCAACTGTGAGGAGATGATATTAATTACTTTGATTCAAGTAATCATTTCATTGTACATATATATCAAGTTATGTACACCTTAAATATAGATGTCCAAAAAATGTATACACACACTTTGAATAATTACAAAGGCAGTTTTTATTAAAATACATTTTATTTTCAGAATTGAGCCACCAGCTGTTGAAATGTGTATACATTTTTCTGGGATACCCTGTATATACAGTTTTATTAAATAGATGTGTTTTTATGAAAAGAAAAGAGGACAGAAGTTGTCAGAATGGAATAAAGCAAAATACAACTAGATGCTGCCTACAAGAAAATACCTTTATAATGACAAATAGATCAAAAGTTAAAAGAAAAAAATATAAATATACATATATATGTATATACATATACACACACACATATATATCATACTAACTACTCAAAACAAAGCTGAGTGGCCATATTAATTTCAGACAAAGTAGACTTCAGAGCAAAAATTATTACTAAAGAAGATAATTTTATAAAAATGAATAACAATCCTAAATATTTATGTTCCTAATAAAACACAGCTTCAAAATAAATAAGCAAAAGCCATAGTGCTGCAAGGAGAAATAGATTAATGCACAGTCTGATATCCGTCTCACAATAATTCTGTAGAGCAAGTAGGAGAAAATTAGTAACTATATAGAAAATTTGAACAACACAATCAACCAATTTGACCTTACTGACCTTTTAGTCCAACAACAGTGGGATACATGTGCTTTTCTAAGTGTCCATAGAGCATTTAACAAGATAGACTATATTCTGGGCCATAAAATATGTCTTAATACATTTAAAAGGATTTATATAATACAAAGTATTTTCTCTCACCATATGCAATCAAATTAAATAAAGTGCTAATAAGTAACATGAGAGTCAAAGAAGAAATCAGAAACTAAAAAGTATTTTAAAACCAATGAAATGAAAGCACAGCTCATCAAAATTTGGGATACTGCTAAGGCAGTACTTAGTAGAGGAATGTTTATAACACTAAAGAGGTACTTTAAGCTTTTCTAGAAAGAAGGAAAGATCTGAAAACAACTTCCTCAATTTCCATCTTAAGAAACTGGAAAAAGATGAGCAAATTAAACCCAAAGTAAGCAGAGAAAGAAAATAATAAAGATCAGAACGGAAATCATTTAAATAGGAAGCAGAAAACATGAGCAAAGCATTGAAACAGAAATATCATTCTTTGAGATTAATAAAACTGATAAACCTCTAGCCAGAGGGATTAAGAAAAATAAAAAGAGGAGACACAAGTTACTAATATTATGACAATTTATAAATATTAAATGATAATAGGATAATCAATACCCAAGGAATGTTAAGAACAGCTTTATGCCAACAAAGCCTACAACTTAAATGAAATAGAAAATTTCCTAACTACCAAAGCTCAGACAGTTAGAAATCATCTGAATAGTTTATATCTATTTCCACAAATAAATCTCCAAGTTAGATGATGTCATGGATAAATTCTATCTAACACTTAAGGAAGAAATATTGCCAATTCTATATGAAGTCTTCTAGAAAACTGAAGAATAGAGAATACCTCCCAAGTCATTTTATGGCCAGCATTGATCTGAAGCCAAAATTAGACATTACAAGAGAATAAAACTACAGACTGATACCCTTCATAAACATAGATACAGAAATTAAAAAGGAAAATAAAATGTTAACAAAAGCAGCTCAACATTATATAAAAAGGATAATACATTGTGAATAAGGTAGGGCGGAGGGCAGTATCCTAGAATGCAATGCTGTTTTAACATTCAAAAATAATTTCAAGTAATTGTCCTTATTAGCAAACAAAAAGAAAAAGACATGATTGTCTAAACATAGAAAAAACATTTAGCAAAATCCAACATTCATTTGTGATAAAAGTTCTCAGTATGCTGGGAATAAAATGGAACTTGTTTAACTTGATAAAGAACAACTATGAAAAACCTACAACTGTGTCATTCTGAATGGTAAAGATTAGATGCTTTTTCACCAAGGTCAATCAAGGCAAGGTGTCTGTTCTCACAGCTTCTTTCCCACATTGTGCTAGAGATTTGGGCCATCGCAGAAAGAAAAAAAAAACAATGAAATTAAAGGGATCCATATTAGAAAGTAAGAAGTGAAACTCTTCATTCACTATAAAATTACCTATGTAGAAAGTGGAATTGAATCTACAAAGTGGCTACTAGAGCTAATAAATATAGCTAGAAAGGTTGCAGGATTCAAGATCAATATACAAAATCAGTTGGATTTCTATATACTAGAAATTATAGAAGAGAAAGTAGGAGAAAATATTGAATATAATGAATTAATTTGTATTTTAATAAATGCTCAGGTATAGTTAAAGTAGAAAATATAATAAAACAGGCAGATGCTTGTACCTATTTATAATGAGTAAGATTGAATTTAAGAAAAGAAGAAAGTATTGTATTTACCTGAATATTCTTAAACTTTTATCTTTGTATTTGACATTTAGAAATAAAGTTTAAACAAATATGCTTATACATATCCATAAAATCCTGTGAAATGAATAAACACCAATGCAGGCTGAGACAGATGTGTTGACTCAAATACCACGACATAGGACATTTTGCAATCTTGAGTTAAGCAAAGCCTTTTCAAACATAACAGGAAAAGCATGATCCATAAAATAAAAAACTTGCTAAATTATACTTCATCAAAACTGAAACTCTCTTGTTCAAGAGGCACTATTAAGAGAATAAAAGGACCAAACTAAAAGTAGAAAGTTGTAAATAATATACCTGACCAGGGACTTACATCCACAGTATATAAAGAACTCTCAAAACTCATTAAGAAAACAACTCAATATGCAAATGAACAAAAGACTTAACCAGACACTTCACCAAAGAAGATAGATGGATGGAAAAAATGCTCAATTTCATTAGTTATTAGAAAAGTGTGCATTAAAGCCATGGTGCAATACAACTACAAACCAATTAAAATGGCTAGAATTAAAAAAACAAAACAAAAAAAAAACCCTTACAGGAAGGTTGGTGAGGTTGTGGATTAACGGGAACTCTCATGCACCTCTGTTTTCAGTGTAAAATGGTACAGCTGCTTTGAAATATAGTTTGGCAGTCACCAGAAGTTTAACTTGTACCACTGTATGATCCAGTTGTTAACACTGCTAGGTATTTACCCAAGAGGGGGGAAAAAATCATGCAACAACTGTACATGAATCTTCATAGCAGCTTTATTTATAACTAGAGACCCAATGCACAAAATTCATGCAAGAGTAGGCCTTCCTTCCCCCAGCTGCCAGCACCAGCTTCTCTCTGGCACCCAGTATTCCGGCTTCCCTCATAGCCCTGGCTTTGTCTGGAAGATCATCCGGCCTAATTACAATAGTATATTATGCTTATATTATTATAGGTAGCCAAAACCTGGAAACAACCCAATGTCTGTCAATAGGTAAATGGATAAACAAATTTTGGTATATCTGTATAATGGACTACTACTCAGTAATAAAGAAGAATGAAGTATTGATATATACATCTCAAGGAATGTCATATTAATTATTGTGAAAGATACAGACAAAAAAGAAGATGCTGAATTATTTCTTTTACATAAATTCTAGAAAATTCAGAAATGATCTATCATGACAGAAATCAGATCAGTATCAGATGAATTAATATCACTAAAAGGTAGCCAGACATTGTGTAATTTCTGTGGACGTTAGCACCTTCTCAGATATCTCAATTTCAGTCCTACAGGACTCTTTCCCAGGCTTCTAAGTATTAATAATTCCGCTCTCTTCTCCACCCTGCTCCCCCATGGCCTAGAGTTTTGGTAACAGCTTCCTGCAGTTGCTGCTGCTGTAATATTTATTGCTCTCAGTGTTCCTTTTTAGTTCTATAGTTCAAATAACTTACGTTGTTGTTTTTTTTCCTTTTTAGTTCTATAGTTCTGACTAATATAGCACCACCCATGAAGGAATTTTACCAAAATAATTCAGTCTTAAGTCTCATCAAGACCCTAGATATAAGCACTCAGTGGTAGTACATGGGGTCAGAAAAATGTAAAACATCATCATTAGCAAAATCCAAATCCTGAGAGACTGCACACAATAAACCGATAAACTGCACTTTCTTTAACAGAAACTTACAAGGGAGCTATAATAAGATATGGCACAAGATTCTATAGATTAAAAGAGAAGTAGGAGTCATTTCAATGAATTGCAGTGTACAAACCTTGTTTGAATCTCACTTTAACTTGTGAACACTGGATATTTGATAGTATTAAATCATTGTTAATGATGAGGTATAATATCATTGTGATTATATTTTTTTAAAGCCACTGTCTTAGTGGATGGAATTTTATGAAATCTGAGACTTCAGAATAATATGGTGGTGGAGGGGGAGTGTGTGATACTGTGAGGTTCAGAATGAAACAAGATTGACCATGAGCCCTAGCTGGATTGGCTCAGTGGATAGAGTGTCAGCCTGCGGACCAAAGGGTCCCAGGTTCGATTCTGGTGAAGGGCAAGTATCCTTATTACAGGCTCCTCCCCAGCCCAGACCCTGTTCAGGGCTCATGCAAGAGGCAACCAATCGATATATTTTTTTTTTTTTCATATCAATGTTTCTCTATTTCCCTCTCCCACTCTCCCTAAAAATCAATGGAAAAATATCCTCAGGTGAAGATTAACAAAAAAAAATTTTTATATAATAGTAAAAGGCTAATATGTAAATAAACCAAACAGTGTAACAACCAGTTGCTATTACATGCATCGACCACCAGGGGGCAGACACTCGATGCAAGAGCTGCCCCCTGATGGTCAATGAGCTCCCAGGGGAATGCTGCTCAGCCAGAAGCTGGGCTCATGGCTGGTGAGCGCATTGGCAGTGGCGGGAGCCTCTCCCGTCTGCGGCAGTGCTAAGGGCCCTTCGGGGGTTGTCCGACTGCCAGCAGAGAGCAGGCCTAAGCCGGCAGTTGGACATCCCCGAGGGGTCCCGGAGTGCGAGAGGGCGCAGACCGGGCTGAGGGACCCCCTCCTGCCCTCTCCCCTGGTGCACAACATCCTATCTAATAAATTGGTAATATTCAAATTAACCATCTCTCCGTCACAAAGATGGAAGTGCCTGCCTTCTCAGCCCCACCGGAGTCCCCAGTCCTGGGGGACAGCCACTGAAAGTGGGCATCATGAGTGGCCTGGCGGAATATTTGCTTCGTTGCCATGACAATGAGGCAAGTGCTCCATCCTGGCCCTGGAGGGCCTCTGGGCAGTGGGCACAGAGTAGCAGGGGTGTGGGGAACACGTGTCATTGCCCCAGCAACGAGGCAAGCATTCTGCGCCTGGCCACAGATGGGCCTCTGGGCCGGGGAGAGCCTCTGGACCGCAGAGAGCCTCTGGGCAGTGGGCGTGAGGCAGCCAGGCCCCCACAGAGCTACTGGTGCCCAGATTCATGTGCAGGGCTACTACCGTGTTTCCCTGAAAATAAGACATCCTCCGAAAATGCATGGAAAGATAAGACATCCCCTGAAAATAAGACCTAGCGCAACTTTGGGAGAAAAAATTAATATAAGACACTGTTATTTTCGGGGAAACAGGGTAGTTGTATTAATAGTAATAATAATAAAAATAAAAACGATCATGATTTCACACTTGTTGAGTCTAGGTTATGGATACATAGGGATTCATTGTATTGTTACTTGGACTTTATATGTGAATTTTCTATAATAAAAAATATTTTAATTTAAAAAAGCAGTTCATTGTTTGTGGGAGAAACTTTTGGGAGCAATAAATATGTTCATTTTCTTAATTTTGGAGATGGTGTTACCCTATATAATAAAAGGCTAATATACAAATCAACCGAACAGCAGAACGACCAGTTGCTATGATGCGCACTGACCACCAGGGGGAAGATATTCAATGCAGGAGCTGCCCCTGGTGGTCAGTGTGCTCCCACAGGGGGAACACCGCTCAGCCAGAAGCCACCAGGCTCACAGCTTGCCAGTGCAGCGGCAGTGGTAGGATCCTCTCCCGCCTCCACGGCAGTGCTAAGGATGTCCATCAGTCCGATATCCCCTAAGAGATCCTGGACTGCAAGAGGGCACAGGCCAAACTGAGGGACCCCCAGGCCCCACTCCAGTGCACGAATTTCGGGCCTCCAGTAGTAAAATATTTCTGATTTTTATCAGAAATGAATTTGAAATCTTAAAATATAGTAAACATTGACTAGTAAAAAGAAACTCATCTGGGGTTGCCACCAGAAAGCCATTCAAGCAGGAAGTGTGGGCTTCAGTTTTGCAATTTTGCTAATGCTACCTTTTATTTTTTTAATTTTAGGGTCTTGCCTATTTGCATACTAAAGGCAAAATGCATAGAGATATCAAAGTAAGTTTATTTAATATGTTTAAATTGATAATTTTATTGGAATGAATTTTATGATACTAATTAAATAGTACTTGTTTTTTTGTTTTAGGGTGCAAATATTCTATTGACAGATCATGGCGATGTAAAATTAGGTATGTTATTTCAAATTTCTAACATTTTTCCCAAATTTTAATTTTAACATTAGACAAGCTTAATAATCATGTTAAGAGCCACAATAATGTTCATTGTTCGACCTTCCAATTTTACTCCTGAGACTCAGTTTAAGGATATTAATTCTAAAGATAAAAAAATCCATATTCACAGAAGGGTTAATCATAATATTATATGGAATAGAAGAAAATGAGAGCATAGTTTTAGCAATAGAAAAACTGTTAAGCTGTGATAAATCCATTTAAGAAACATTATTCATTCAGTCATCTTGGCCAGGTGGCTTAGTTGGTTGGAGCGTCAACCTGTGCACTGGGAAGTTGCGGGTTCCATGCTGATCAGGATGTGTACAGGAGGTGATCAATTGGTGTTTCTCTCTTCCTCCCTTTCTCTCTAAAATCAATAAAAGCACATCCTTGGATGAGGATTTAAGAAGAATAAGAGTAAAATCCTGTGATCTGTTACATGACAAAAATGAACTATTTTGCATTTAGTTTTTTACAACCATGTTTAGCAACAATAACAGTTTATTTATAGAAAAAGAACTTTTTTGCTTGGCCAAAGCCCACCATCTTCTTTCCCACCGGGTACATTCAAAAAACTTTTTTAAATAATAACACCAAAATACTAACCTGGTTATGTTAGAATAAAAGGAATTCAGGTGGGTGTTTTATTTTTTGCTTTTTCTATTTTTCAAATTAACTTTAAAAAAAACATATGTTCTTACTGATTTCAGCGAAAGGAAGGGAAAGGAAAAGAGATAAAAACATCAATGATGAGAGAGAATCATCAATGGGCTGTATCTTGCACACCCCAACTGGGGATCAAATCCTCAACCTCCAGCCTGTGCCCTGATTTGGAATCAAGTCATGGCTTCCTGATTCATAGGTCAATGCTCTATTATTCAGCCACTCTGGTCGGACTCAACTTAACTTGAATGTGGTTGTCACAAAAATATTTTTATTAACTTTGTCCTTAATAATGTACATTTTCTTTCTAGTAAAGCACCAGTAAATTATTTTCTTTTAATGGGTGTGTTATAAATCATGCAAGAAGAAATTTAGATATTCAACTTTTATACATTTCCCTAGCATTACTATTCGAATTAGTAATAATGTCAGGCCTAAGGATGAAACTTAGAAATGTTAATGCTTTTATTGAAAAGAACTAAAATTTTCTGTTTTATATTTTTCTCTACCAGCTGACTTTGGTGTAGCTGCAAAAATAACAGCTACAATTGCAAAGAGAAAATCTTTCATTGGCACCCCTTATTGGTAAGACAAATTTACATTATAATTGACTTTTATGCATTTTCATTTCTTTAGGAAGGCTGAAGGCTTGCACGCTCCTTGATACTATGATAGTTCTATTGGGTCGGCAAGTAAGTAATTGCGGATTTTTTAAAGAAAATCAAAGACAATTTTTTCATGGAACTAAATAACTTTATTCTGTAATGTATTGCCCATTTTGATCAATGACCTTTTGCCATCTTTCAGGCAGCATCATAATCCCACGTTCAAAAAACTTCTGGTTTTTATTAGCAAAAAACTGAATCAGGTACGATTTGACATCATCATCATTATTGAAATTTTTACCATTCAAGGAGTTTTGTAAAGATCAAAACAAAAAGTAATCAGATGGTGCAAGGTCAGGACTATATGGTGGATGTGGCAAAACATCCCAACCAAGCTCCATTAATTTTTGCCGAGTGACCAAAGATGTGTGTGGCCTTGCATTGTCATGATGGAATACAACACCTTTTCGATTTGTCAATTCGGGCCGCTTTTCTTCAACTGCATTGTTTAATTTCGTTAGTTGTTCAATGTAGACATCAGAATTGATCGTTTGGTTGGGTGGTAAGAGTTCAAAGTAGACAATTCCTTTGTAATCCCACCAAACTGATAACAAAACCTACTTTTGATGAATATCAGCTTTTGATGTTGTTTGAGTTGGTTCACCTGGCCTGCTCCACGATCTTTTCCACTTGATATTGTTGTAAACAACCCATTTTTCATCGCCAGTTATCAGTCGTTTTAAAAATGGATCATTTTCATTACGTTTCTTTAGCAAATTGCAGCTGCTAATGCGTTGCGTTAACTGTGATTCTTTCAGTTCGTGAGGAACCCATGTATCGAGTTTTTGAACATAGCCAAGTTGTTTTAAGTGATTTTCAATGCATGTATGTGATACATGAAGCTTCTCTGCAATCTCACGTGTTGTACTGTGACAGTCCGAATTGATTATTGCTTTGATTAGGGCGTCATCAACTTCAACTGGACGACCAGAGCGTTTTTCATCTTTGAGTGAAAAATCACCAGAACGAAATTTGGCAAACCAATTTTGACACTGCCGTTCTTTTAAGGCTTCGTCACCATAAACAGCACATAACTTTTTATGAGCTTGCAATGCATTTTTCCCTTTGCGGAAATAAAAAAGCAAAATATGACAAAAATGTTCCTTTTGATTTTCCATTTTTCAACGAACGCCAAACGAAAACAACAAAACAGATCAAAAAACTTTTTTTACTGATTAACAGCTGAATAGCCAACTATCAAATAACAAAATGTGTTTTACATTTGTACTACTTCTGCAAACCTAAAAATTCAACTGAAGCCATATATGTGCGAAACCCGCAATTACTTACTTGCCGACCCAATAATTGGGTCGGGAAACTAATACTCCTTTTCATTGTCCAGCTTTGCCAATGTTAAAATGCTAATAATTCCTGCCATCTCTGGGATCTTGTATTGAGAGCACTCATAGGTATGAGAGTTTCAAAAGAAAAACTCATATTACAATCTCTTGACATTTTGTTACCCTTCTTTTGATAGTGCTTCTATTTTAATCTTGGACTTTGCTATCTGTTAAAACTTATGCATCCTACCCTACTCTTAATGTATCCTACCAGTTACTGACAAAATAATCTTTCTAAAACACTGCTTTCAGCCCTGGCCACTGTGACTTGATTGAGCATCGTTCTGTGCGCTGAAAGGTTCCTGTTCAATTTCCAGTCAGGACACATACCCACGTTTCGGGTACCATTCCCAGTCAGGGTGTATGCAGAAGGCAACCTAACGGATTGATGTTTCTCTCTCGCATTGATGTTTCTCTCTCTCCTTCTCTAAAATCAATTTTTTTAAAAAATTAAAAATAAATTAATTAAACACTGCTTTCATTAGAGAAGACAAATAATTGAAATATAATAGAAAGCCTAGTAATAAATTTCAATATGTAAAATCATATACTAAATATTATAAATGATACCATTTAAAGTTTGATGAAAGGTTGGATATTTTATTATTTGGATAATTTTTTATTTGGAAAGAAATTTAAAGTAGCTCTATACCTCATATTAATATCAAAATAAATTATATATAGGAATTTATATATTTTTGTCAAATGTAAAACTAAAACCAAAAGATGTATCAATGACTATCTGCTTTAAGAGTTGAGTAGCCCAAGCCCAGTCCATGTGGCGCTCGTGGTTGAGCGTTGACCCAGGAGGTCACGGTTTGATTCCTGGTCAGGGCACATTGATGTTTCTGTCACTCTCTCCCTCCCTCTCTGAAATTAATAAAAATAAACTTAAAAAGTTGAGTAAACCTTTCTTGGTATAAAATGTTAAAGGGAAAAATTGGCCCTGACCAGTTTGGCTCAGTGGATCGCGCGTCGGCCTGCGGACTGAAAGGTCCCAGGTTTGATTCCGGTCAAGGGCCTGTACCTTTGTTGTGGGCACATCCCCAATAGGAGATGTGCAGGAGGCAGCTGATTGATGTTTCTACCTCTCTATCCCTCTCCGTTCCTCTCTGTAAAAAATCAATAAAATATATTTTAAAAAATAAAGGGAAAATTGATACATTTAACTATCGATACATGAAAATTTAAAGTTATTATATGTATACCCACTTAAAGGGAAAGGCAAGTAACCAGGAAGTAATGGCTAAAATATGACAAACTAGGTTTTAATATATTTAATATGTAAGTTCTTTCTTTTTTTTTTTTTTTTTTTTACTCTTCACCTACGGATATATTTTTCCATTGCTAGAGAGAATGGAAGGGATGGAGGAAATGGGGGACAGGGGAGGGGGAAATAGAGAGAGAAACGTCAATGTGATGTGAGAGAGACACATTGATTGATTGCCTCCCACATTCACCCCTACCTGGGCTGGAGAACTTGCAACTTAGGTATGTGCCCTTGACCAGGAATCTAACCCAGGACTCTAGTCCACAGTTTGATGCTTTAACTATTGAGAAAAACTGGCCAGGGCAACATGTAAGTCTTAACTCAATAAAGAATGTTTCCTTAGAAGCAGAGTTATTAAAATCATAGTTATAAGATATCATAAAATATGAAAAAAAATTTCCCCAATGATGACCAAAAATGCAAATTAAATAAACAATTACATTCTTTTATATCAAATTGGAAAATATTTGGGATCATGGGTAATATCTATCACTACCACTAAATATTTGATAATGAAAATAGAAATTCGTAGGACATTTTTGAAAGATAATTTGGTAACAATTTTTTTTCTTAAGTAACTTTTGTGTTCTAGTCTCAATTCTGCTTGTATTAATTTATCAAAGAGACATACAGATTTACATACTAGGAACTTTATTAAATACTTTAATAATGAAAAATAGAGGGAATATATATGCATATCCATAGAAATTAGTTCATTCAAATTAAAGAAATTGCTGGTATTAAAAATCCTGTTCTAAAAGATCAGTGGATAAACTCATGATATAATGTTAATTAAAAAGGAGGATTAAAAGTAGCATATTCACTATTATGCCATTTTATAGAAGGTATGTGTGTGTATTAAATTTATGGGTAAAATATGTGAAACAGTGGTTCTCTTTGGGTGGTATAATTGTTGACTTGTTTTCTTCCATATTTTGTCATATATTCCAAATTTCTTCAGCCAACATATATCACTTTCAACCACAGAAAAAAGCCCTGATAAATCTCATTTAAATAAAGTTAAAAGAAAACAGGTGAATTAGGTTACCTATCAAATTTCTTTCTTTATATGCCTATTTCCCTCTTTAATCTCTTTTCTGTGACTGTCCTTCCCAATCAACTCTGTTCTTTAGTCAAAATTACCATTTTTTTGTACCGTGACTATTCCAGACATTGGTTATTACCTTCCTGTTCTGGCTGAAGAGTGCCATGCTCTCTGCCTTATCTCACCCATGGCTGACTGGTCACATCTCTGTTTTCCACTGGTCAGCTTGGCGCTGCAGTTAGCCACTAACACCTCATTCCGGTGGGCAGAGGAGATGGAACCCACATGCTTTCTCTGGGTTCTAGCTCAGTTCCTTTCCTCTATGAAATTTGCCTTCAGTCACCTTTGCTCCATGGTGGTCATTTTCTTCTCTTAGATTCTATACCCATTATTATGTGTTTAGCACTTGCAAAGAGCATGTACATGTTGGCATTTTTAGTATATGTATTTTATATCCTTCTTAAATATATATTTTATTGACTTTTCACAGAGAGGAAGGGAGAGGGATAGAAAACATCGATGAGAGAGAGACATCGATCAGCTGCCTCCTGCACACCTCCCACTGGAGATGTGCCCGTAACCAAGGTACATGCCTCTGACTGGAATCGAACCTGGGACCTTTCAGTTCGCAGGCCAACGCTCCATTCACTGAGCCAAACCAGTTTCAGCTATTTTATATCCTTAACCACATTTTAACTGAAAGACATTTGTTGTATAACCTTTTGTAACCTAAGTGCATATAAAAGCAACTTCTACCTTTTGGGTATTCAATATAAATATAAATTAATTTTAAGATACTAAACATTAAAAAATAAAAGAGTATTTCCCCTGAGCAATATCATCTATGCTTTATAACTTCAGATACCATCATTATACATCACAGACTGCCAAGTAGATAACTCCAACTCCACTACTCAGTTGACCTTCAGTCTTGTATATATTCAAAACAGCTGTTTGATAATAGCTATACTTGTATATATATAAACATTTAATACATCATTCTCTATAGTTAACCCCTTTTATTCTGTCCCCTCTGCCACTGCGTTCAAAAAATCCTATTTTTTCCCTTGTGCTTTTAAAATAACCTAATTCATGTGCAAAATGCTGGTTTCACCTCCTCTCACACTGTCCTTCATGTTGCCATGAGTTTTAGATCAAGCTTACCCCCTTAACCTTTTATTTTCACAGTAAAGTCTGAATTTCTTATATAATCAGTAATCCATTCATGGTCCATCTAGCACCATCTCTGATGTTCATTTTTCAAATACTTTATTGTCCCGCTCCAACTGTCTATAATGAATGACCTTTCAGTAAAATAAATTAAAAATGACAAACTGAAAAATGGTTATGTATTTGATAAGAGTAAATGCTTACTCTCAATTTCTGTACTTATCACAGACTCATAGCAAGCCATTTATGCCCCATATCATACATTGAGTAGCACTGTCCTATCACTTCTCCAGATATCTCATGCTCTCTTCTTGTCTCCTTTCATTTACGCTTGTTTCATCTGATTAAAATGTCCCAACTTCCTACTGCTCTTAGCTCCCTGATAATTCATTCTTTAAGTCTCACCTCCTTTGGGAACTTTTCTCTGACTTACACAGGGATTTAAGTGTTCTTTTTCTTTTCCTATATTATATAACAAGATTTATAAAACAGAAACTAAAATAAGACAACACAAGTTTTCCTCAGAGTACTAGATTTCAGAGGAGAGGATTCAAGGTTTTTAAATAATGAATTTTAAAAATGTGTGTGTCTTTTTATGTATAAGGTCTTTATAAGTCTTTTAAAATAAAGTTTCTTTTTTTAATTATTGATTTTTTTACAGAGAGGAAGGGAGAGAGATAGAGAGATAGAAACGTCGATGAGAGAGAAACACCGACCAGCTGCCTCTTGCACACCCCTTACCAGGGATGTGCCCGCAACCAACATACATGCCCCTGACCGGAATCAAACCCGGGACCTTTCAGTCCGCCGACCGACGCTCTACCACTGAGCCAAACCGGTTTCGGTTAAAATAAAGTTTCTTCTTAGCAAATGTCTCTCAGCTCCTTTTCCTCCGGGAAGTCTAGTAAATATGACAAAAGTAGCAGATTTCATATCTTTTTTTTTCTTTTTCTTTTTTTTTTAATGATATATTCACTGATTCCTTCTAGGATGGCCCCAGAAGTCGCGGCAGTAGAAAAGAATGGTGGCTACAACCAGCTCTGTGATATCTGGGCAGTAGGAATAACAGCAATTGAACTTGGAGAACTTCAACCACCTATGTTTGATCTTCATCCAATGAGGTGTTCTCACTATTTAAAATTATGCAGTTATTAATAGATCTTTTGGGAAGTGAGATACTGATAAATTGTATATTCCAAGCTAATTTTCAAGTATATTAAAATGGTAGAGGTGTTATAAGGGACTTAAGGATAATCTCATCTAAACCCTGCTCGCTTGTATTACTATTCCTAAAACAACAAGGAGCAAACAGTATATACTGTCTGAAATCTTCTTTAAGTCATTACATTCATTTTTCTGTCAGTTGAACTTGTTTCTTTTTTTGTCTTAAGTAGATTCATAAACATGATAGACTGCATATGAGATTTTTTTGTTGTTCATTTCAGCATGTTTTTTGTTGTTGTTTTTTTACTTTTCCTAGAGGTAAAGAGGCGTGCTTAGTATAATTGTCGTTTGCATTTAGATTAAATTATCTCAGAAAAAAAATTTGAGGGCCTTTGAAAGTTTTTAATATTTTGAATGAAAAGATAAATTGGACTAAAATTTAAACACTTAAAGTAAATAGTATATAAAGTTAAAAAGAAAATCAAAAGAATGTGTAATTTGTTTTCTTCACATGATAAACAGAATAATATATATTACATAAGGAATTCATACAAATATTTTATAGGCAAAATATAAATTATTTATGAGCAAGTACTAAAGAAACACGGAGAACTATTTGACTTCACAAGCAACTAAAGTTATACAAGTTAAGAGATATCTACATTTAGGTGAAATGTCAAAAAATTCAGACTTTTAAAAAAGTAATTTAGACATTATTTATTATGGGCCACCCAAATGTTTCAGTAATTTCACTAAGAAAATTATACTTGGGAAATTATTCAGGAAAAAGAACAACCTAAGGATTATCCATTTCTCGATAATGGGGGAGAGGGGAATCTAAATATCCAGTAATTGGTGAGTTGTTAAGCAAATTATTTAGTAGTTAAGGGCAGCGATTACATAAAACAAAGCAACATGGGAAAATGATTATTAGTAAAGAAAAAAAAAAAGGCAGAACATAATATTACCTAATACAGTGATGTAGTAATTGGTTATTATAAAGACTAAAAGAAGAACAGAAAATTTCAAATAATATCTTAGGGTTGTAGGAGTATAGACCGTTATTTCTTTTTTAGTTTTCCTTTATATATGAACAAGAGGCCTGGTGCGTGAAAACTTGTGCACTCACTGGCAGGAGGCTCCCTCCCTCAGCCGGCCTGCCCCCCTCTCACAGTCCAGGAGTCCTCAGGGGAGGCAACCGGCCAATCAGGGGAAGTGCTGCCCCCATCACCCCACCGCTGCTGCCGCTGCCAGCCATGGCTGCCTGCCCTTGGCTCTCACAGCCGTCACAGCTTTGTCCAGAAGGATGTTCAGCTGTCCAGTCTAATTAGCATATTATGCTCTTATTATTATAGATCAGTGGTCGGCAAACTGCAGCTCGCAAGCCACATGCAGCTCACAAGCCATGGTTTGCCGCTCTGTTGACTAATGAGTTTGCTGACCACTGATTTAGACTCTCGATTCCAATAATTACAGGCTGTTGTTGTTCCTTGTGATTAAGCCCCATCCCACTGGTCGGCAAACTCATTAGTTTATAGATTATTTTAGAGTTCATATATTACTATTCTGTTAACTAATTGAATTTTACTTAAGAGATGGAACTAACATTGCGAGCCGCAGTTTGCCGACCACTGTTTAGCTTTTAAAATGAGAAAATATCTTTAATATTAAAAAAAAAAAAAAAAAAAAAAGGCTAAAGAGTTTGCTTAGAAGCCTGGAAGGGGTTTTATAGGAATTAGGGAAATAGAGCATTTTAGAACTTTCTTCTTAAATCCTTTATTCTTCAACCCTTTTAGTCCATTGAAAACATAGAAAATGGGTCACAGGTAGACTCGCTGATAAAGAAAGTTCTCTTGTAGGTTGACTTCTGTATCATTCATAATGAGAGGGTGTGGAAAATTATTGGCCTAAAAGGGAAACAGACTGTGAAGTCAACATGATTTGCCTATAGATACAAAATAATTATATAGACAAATCTTCAGTTAGACATAAAACCTAATGTTAGGTGTGTGTGACAGGATGATATACAATTTATATAGATTTTTACCTAAGATAAAATACCAGTTATTTATCTGCCAGTATGATCAAAAACTCTTCTCTAATATTTGGTAGCTTTGCTATGTGAATAAGAATTTGTTTGAAATTTAAAGATCCTTTCTCTAGCCAGGGGAAATTTTCCATAGTTTTCCAAAATATAAAAAAAGTTAATTTCCATATTTTATACTAGTTTCATCAGTGTCTACCTCTGTAGTAATCTTGTATAAATTTATTAAAGAATATTAATCTGATTATTAGATGTAGTAATTAAAGTATTTTGGTATTGCTCTTTAACTGAAGTTTTTATTTCAGGGCCCTCTTCTTAATGTCCAAAAGTAATTTTCAGCCCCCAAAACTAAAGGACAAAACAAAATGGTAAGTTAAATAATATAGAGATTTATAGAGTTTTACATTTGAAAGGGTTACAGGTTTAGTTCTTGATTTTATGGATAATGAAACTGAAGCCCAGAAGCATTAAACAACAGTTACCTAAAGTTACACATCTACTTTACAAACAGAGCTGTGGTAAGGCACTAGGTTTTTCTGGTCAGTGTTCCTTTATAATATGTTGCTCTCTTAAAAAATTCTGACCATGTTCTTATGTTTTGGCATTTTTGGGAAAGGGATGTGGTGAGGAAAAGATTTGAAATAAATAAATTGACTTTGAAAAATCTCATTTTTACTCTGTACTTTCATTAATTACTTGGTGACTTTTGTGGAAGAGATATGAAAAGTTTTCCCAGATATCATGACCCTTAAATTAATCTTTAATTACTTTTATCTATCTTCCTTCCCTACTATTCTAAAAGGTTATCACTGCCCTGGCCTGTGTCCCAGTGGTTAGAGTGTTGGCCTGAGAACCAAAGAGTCTTGGATTTGATTTCTGGTCAAGGGCACGTACTTGGTTGCAAATTTGATCCCCAGCGTGTGGGAGGCAACCATTCAATGTCTCTCTCTTGCATAGGTATATTTCTCTCTCTCTGTTCCCTTCTTCCTCCCCTTCCCTCCAAAAAGAAAAGGTTATTACATATTTTCATTCTAATACCTTCTTTCTTATGCAAAGTAAAGCAGTTTGAATATTCTTATATTTCATAAGGACATCTTCAATTGGATGATAAAAATTGAAAATTGTTTACCTAATAATGTCTTTCCATACATTTAATTTTTTAAAAGTATGCAAATAAGTTTCCAAGTTCTTAAATTCAGTTATTTTTTCATCTAGATTTACATGGGTCTCTTTTATGGTTCATGGGCCCCCCTCAAATTCTGTATGTTCATATCTTATTTCAGATTCTGAGAGTCCTGTTCTCCAAAAAGGTTTATATTCTGCTAGCTGTATTCTTTTGTATTGACACAGGTTTCTTCCTATTCCTTATCACCTCAAGTTCCTAAGCAATTAAAACTGGAAGGGTTTATGGCAGGAGGCACTGAATATTCATTCAGGAATGAATAACTATTAGCTATAACCACTGAATTCACAGAATCCAGAGGAGTCATTACCATTGGATACCTTTGCCAGTCTCAGATACTATGTAACTCCATGCTATCTTTTCCACAAATCACCAAATGTAATGCAGTAATTTGATTTTTCTGAAGAGAAATGCTGTGTGTTTGCTGGTAATAAGTAAGGTTATTCGCTTTGGTTCTTGCCCAACCCCTCTTCCAATAGAATTTTGGCTATGGTGCAAATATTCATCTTTGCTATTAATAATCCAAGCATGATTCATTTAATTTATGTCATTTTCCCTGCTTCATCAACTCAGGTGGCAGGAACTCTTCTGCTTGCTAAAATCACTCCTTCTTTGCCCTTGTTTCTAAGAAATTCAATGACCTTTTAGCCGGGACCGGTTTGGCTCAGTGAATAGAGCATCGGCCTGCGGACTGAAAGGTCCCGGGTTCGATTCCGGTCAAGGGCATGTACCTTGGTTGCAGGCACATCCCCAGTAGGGGGTGTGCAAGAGGCAGCTGATCGATGATTCTCTCTATCGATGTTTCTAACTCTCTATCCCTCTCTCTTCCTCTCTGTGAAAAATCAATAAAATATATTAAAAAAAGAAAAAGAAAAGAAATTCAATGACCTAAAGGCTTTAAATAATCTTTTACATTACCCACCCTATCTTCTCACCATTCAACTCTTTTGATGTAGCAGAACATTTACATACTATATAAATTAGGCAATAAGAAAAGGTCATTTTGATTTTTAAGTTTAATAGATTATGAATCTTGTAAGTGATACAGCTATGCATTTCACTGTATTTTTTAGAGCTCATGTATTACTATTCTGTTAACTAATTGAATTTTACTTAAGATATGGAACTATAATAACACGTTTTCTTCTTTTGTATATACATTGTTTTTGTTTTTTTAGAGAGGGGGGAAATGGAGAGAGAAGGAGAGAGAAAGGGGGGAGAAAAAGAGGGGGGGGCATCCATGTGAAAGGGAAACATCAATCAGCTGCCTCCTGCACGCCCCCTACTGGGGATTGAGCCCCTTGGGCATGTATGTGCCCTGACCAGGAACCTAACTGTCAACCTTCTGGTGCGTGGGACAGTGCTCAGCCAACTAAGTGACACTGGCCAGAACATCAAGGAATATCTATGCTTTGGGTTTAGTTTTTTTAGCTTATATAGAGTTAAGAGACCTAAGGGGGAAAAATCATGTGTTTCAGACTTTAACTACTTGTAAGTTAACTTTATTTAGTACCACCAAAAAACTAACATTAATGAAATATTTTGTACATGTTTCCTTTTATTTTAAGGTCATCAACATTCCATAATTTTGTCAAAATAGCACTAACCAAAAACCCAAAAAAAAGACCAACTGCTGAAAGACTTCTGACTGTAAGTCATTGAAATTATAGGGGAATCTTCTATAGTCATGTCTCAATTAGGTATATCACTAGAACAAAAGTATTTAGGTTTTTTAAAATAAAAATGTTAGTGATCTCTTACAGCAGGGGTTAGCAAACTTTCTGTAAAGAGTCAGTAAATATTATAGGCTTTTGGGCTGTATAGCCTCTGCCACAACTCTTCAATTTTACTCTTGTAACACAGAAGCAGCCATAGATAGCACATACAAATGGATGTGGCTTTAACACCCAATAAAACTTTATTTACAAAGAGGCAGTGCACCATATTTTGCCCATGAACTGTATGTAGTTTGCCAACCACTGCCATAGAGGAAACTATTAAAAATATTGCTGTAATATTAAAATTGCTTTTCTTTGATTCTTCTGTTAATTTATAGAATGCTCTGTGTGTATATGTGTTTGTTAAATATTTTGATAGTACAAAAAAATCAATGAGTATAGCAGTCTAAGAAAACTATTAAATATCATCATTTCACTGTATGTCTTTGTACATTAACGTAATTTTATCAGCATAATGACATGAGTAATGAATGTCATTGGTATAGCCAGTTTTACCTTTACTGCCTTATATGTTAATGTCATAAACTTATTCCATAGGATTATTTAGCTTTATAATATATAATTATGGATTCCATGGTTAATAATTTATTTGTACTAGTAGGCTCCCACATACTTATCTCTGATATATACTGAATGGAAAAATACAAATAACATTTCTGTAAGCCATAGATGTAAAAGCATACTCATGAAATTGTTTTGTTTTCACTTAGCATACATTTGTAGGACAGCCAGGTCTCTCTAGGGCCCTAGCAGTTGAACTTTTGGACAAAGTGAACAATCCAGACAACCATTCACATTACACTGAAGGAGATGATGATGACTTTGAGGTAAGGAGTATTTGCAGTCTAATATCCTCATATATAATAAAAGACTAGGTGGCATCACTCCCTCGCACAATGCCCTCGCGTGACATCCTCACAAGATGGCTGCCACAAGATGGCCAGCAGGGGAGGGCAATTTGTTCCACTTATTTATGCATTCATTGGTTGCTTCTTATATGGGCCCCGACCAGGAATCAAACCTGCAACCTTGGCATATCAGGATGATGCTTGAACCAACTGAGCTACCTGTCCAGGGCTAAGTGAATAAACTTTTAAAGTACTTTGGTGTTCATTATATTTTTTAAATTTTTGTCCTATAATTTATTAGTAGGTAGTGATGTTTGTTGATAAGTGAACGTTTAATTTAAAAAGAGAAACTTTGAACTTTATCATTGAAATCTCTTTTTAAAATGTGAAGGCATTAAGAACTACAAATTGGTCATCACAAAATAGTCTTGGAGGTGTAAAGTACAGCATAGGGATTCTACACTAATAAAAGAGAACCATGCAAATTGACCATCCCTCTGCTATGCCCACAAGCCAATCAGGAGTGAGTATGCAAATTAACCCAACAAAGATGGCATATAAGACTGAAGACAGCATAGAAGGAAGCCAAGCACTGCAGAAGGGAGCAAAGTGGTAACGAAGGGAGGGAGCGAGGCAGCAGAGAAGGGAGCGAAGCCCACAGGAAAGCCCTATTCTTGTAGGAATCTTCCTGCAACGGGCCTCTAGTATAGTCAATAATATTGTAAAAAGTATGGTTCCAGGTGGGTACTTGAAATATCAGGTGGATACTTTGTAAATTATATGATTGTCTAACCACTATACTGTACATCTGAAACTAATAAAAAATAATATTGAATATAAACTAATTGAAAAGTAAAATTTTTAACTGTATGTTTATATCCACAGCCCCATGCAATCATTCGTCATACCATTAGATCTACAAACAGGAATGCCAGAGCTGAACGGACAGCTTCAGAAATAAATTGTATGTGTTTGGTATATATTTTCAATTGGTGGTTTGAAGGGTTGAGCTGGGTGTTCTTGTGGTTTTTTGGAATAATAAAGTCTCAAACCAGTTGAGGCTACACAATTTCACATATCAGAATACCTCTAAAATAGAGGTTGCTTTTCTGGTTTATAATAGGTTGCAATAAAATAGTTTTTCATTTTCTAATTACAAAAGTAATATATGTCCATTGCAGAAAATTTGCAAGAGGAAAAACTAGAAAATCAACATTGCCTACAATCACATCATTTATGTCAACCCACAGATAATATTTTGCTGAATTTTCTTCATGCGTTTTTAGGTGGCTGAATTTATAATATATTGTACATAAAATTTTACTTAAGTATTTTCTTCATATTAGTCTAGCCTTTATAAACCTGTTCATTGAGTTATCAACTTTATAGTTGAACAGTTTCTTTTTGTTGGATATTTGGGTTGGTTTTAGTTTTTCTAGGCAGTTTAACATTAACACTAACGTGAGTCTTTTCTAAAATGCATGTTTTAAAAAGGGAAATTGCCCTAGCCAGTTTTGCTCGGTGGTTAGAGAGTCAGCCTGCAGACTGAAGGGTCTCAGGTTCAGTTCCAGTCAAGGGCAAATAACTCGGTTCCAGGCGCAATCCCCAGTCTGAGTTGAGTGTGCTGGAGGCAACCAGTCGATGTGTCTCTTGATGTTTCACTCTGACATCGATGTTTCTCTCTCTGTCTCTCCCTCTTCCTTCCATTCTCACTAAAAAATCATGGGAAAATACCCTCAGGTGAGGATTAAATAAACAAATAAAAGGAAATTGATTTTTATTCAATAAATCATTGACAGATAAAAGTTTTGTATCAACAATATTTGTCATTTTAGCCATAGTAATTTGGAAAATAGAGTTGCAAAGAAGTTTTAAGTATGGGTATATTGATTTAAATGCATACTTGTTTCAAAAAGATTTAAAGTAGTTTATAGTACAATAAGATATAAATAAAATTATAAACCATAATGGAGAAAGATAACGTATTAAGTATTTAGGTTAATTAGAATTATTGCAAATGAGCATTTCAGATCAGTTTTCTTAAACCCAAATATTTCTAGCTTTCTGGATACAGCTTCAGAAATATAGGTCAATGGAGTTAGAAATATACTTCCATATCAGTTGTTTTAGTCCTGTCTATTTATAGTTAAACCAGTAATTCAAGATTTTATCTCTTTGTTAGTCCCAGATTTCTAATGTTGTTATGCTACCTTCTTACGTAATTCTAAATTAAATCTCTAGGCTTCAGATACCAGACAGAAAAGTAGCAAGGTTGATGTACCATTATAAAGCTTTCTGTAATTCCTTGGCTGGAATTGAACTTGGGATCCCTCAGTCCCCAGGCAACACTCTTATACGTTGAGCCAAACCAGCTAGGGCAATTGCAGCTGGATAGTATTCGATTAATGTAGTCTTAATTTATACTTCTTTTCTTGTATAACTGGGGTTTTGTGTTATGTGAAGCAAGGCCTTCTTGATATTAACTTGACAAAGTATCATTTGTGGGTTGTTGGTTTTTAAAAAAAATATCTTTATTGATTTCAGAGAGGAAGAAAGGAGAGAGAGATAGAAACATCAATAATGAGATATTGATTGGCTGCCTCCTGCATGTCCCCTTGACTGTAATCAAACCTGAGACTCTAAAGTTCGCAGGCTCTATCTACTGAGCTAAACCAGGCAGAGCTTGTGGGATTTGTTTTTTTTTTTTAGAGAATTTTAAGTAATTTGGGGGTCAGTGGTTCACCTCTACCATAAAGTTATAGCTTAAATTTGTCTCAGAGTCTACAGCCTAGAGAACATCCTTAAAATGTTTTTAAATCTTTTAAAATCCTTTGTTATCTACTCTTAGTTTTTAAAAATCTCTTATACTCATAAAGTTCTATTAATTTTTGGACTCAGACCAAGAATTAATAGAGTAGTTAGGATGATTCCACATTGTTACTTTCTTTTGGTAAGCATAAAGTAAGAGTACTCTTATGGTTAAAAAGAAAAGAGAGATTTTGTCTTTTCTTCTTTTCTCTCTTCTCTCTTACTTTGCGGTAAAATAGATTTTATAAATATCTATTATATATTTTGCAGTTGACAAGTTACAGTTTGAACCTCCTTTGAGAAAAGAAACAGAGGCACGGGATGAAATGGTAGGAATTATGACTTTAAAGTATTTTACACACTAAAATTAGAAAACTTGTAGTTAGGCGTACTTTGGCCATGGAACAAAGTAATGTTCTCTTAAGCATTAATTTTGATAGTGTACTTTACACGTTAAAATTCAAAAAAGCCTACATTTAGGTGTATTTTTTTCCTAAGGTGAAATGTGTAATATAACATTTTAACCATTTATTTGGATCCTTCTGAGTCTTTTGAAGAACTTGCATGAAGTTATTAAGTACTGTATATGGATTTTGATGCTCAGCTTTAAGCTCTCAGAATTTTTTTTCTTATTGATGCTTTTTGATTTGTCATATTGCATTGGATTACTATTTTTAATAGTTTTCTGCTAATATAGGTTATTTTTAAACTATTGCTCTTATTTTGCAATTGCTTTTTAGTTAACTCCTTCCTTATCTGAAAGGAAAGTAGATAGAACAAGATATTATTAGTCAGCCTCGTTATTATCTTAACCTACTTTATATTAATAAAATAATAGTTTTCTTCTGTTCATGGACCTCTTCATCTTACTTAACCTTTATAAGTGGTGTTCTTACTATATACAGTATGGGGCAAAAGTAGATTTACAGTTGTGAGTACACAAAACAGAATTTATTCTTAATTACTGTATTATTTAATTACTGTTTTATTTTCCATATGAACAATTAAACCTACTTTTGCCCCACCCTGTACATTGCTGTATAATAAACTCTCAATGTCTGTACTAGTAGGAAAAAATAATAGCACAATAAATTAATGATGGTCTGATGTTTAGTTCTCAGTGCTAATGGAGTAGTGATGCAAATGATTCAAAGTTTTGATTTTTCTGTTTTACTTCTGACCAAATGAGCTTGGTAGAGAGCTTGTTATACTTGAAGCTATATATATTATTCGATATGTTTATGGACTTTCTAAGTTTTAGCCAACTGATGAGTCATTGACCTAAATACGTCAAATCAAATGACAGTTAATCTAGCTGGAGATTAAAAAATTGATTGAAAGCCAAGATGATCAACAATCATGAACTAAATGATTTTTTGAATCAAATAAAATGATTAGTATCTGTTTTAAGCTAACATTTTAAACTCAATTTTTACTTCCACAGGGAGTATCATCAGACCCAAACTTTGTGCTGCAATGGAATCCTTTTTTTGATGGTGCAAATACTGGAAAGTAAGTTGTTCACTAATATAAAACTTTATTTTATTTGATTTATCCTAATAAGCTTTCATTTTCATTTTTGAAAAAGTTGTACGAGGCTTCGTCTCATTGTAAAATTTCTGACTTGTTTTTATTACCAAAATGCATTATGTGTAGATTCTTAAGATTTTTTATTTTTGTACTTTAAATTAGAACATAGTATATGTAATGTTAATATATTGAAAGATGAACCACAAGACATCCTGGGAGAAAAAAAATACTATAGTTGAAGTCAAAAAGTCCCATTTTCATCTCTACAATATAGTTACTTCATATTCTAGACCTGTCTTCCCACAGTAATTGATAGGGATAGCCTAGGTGATTTGTTTCAAACCCGTTTATGCATTGCAGTACCTAGAGAGCTTTTTGAAATGCAGATCCCTGGGCTCCCAAATTAGACCTATAATCTAGGGTTGGTAAACTGGTTTATAATCCACATTTGACCCACTGCCTATTTTTTGTACAGCCCACAAACTAGAATGGCATTTACATATTTTAATGATTGAAAAAAATAAAACAGTGATATTTTGTTATATTCTAAAATTATGTGAAGTTTCAGTGTCCATAGATGAATGTTTATTGGAACATCACCATGCTCATTTGTTTATTTATTATCTATGGCTGCTTTCATGATACAGCAAAAGAGTTAAGTAGTTGTGACCACTGTATGGTTTGGAAAGCCTACAGCATTTACTGTCTGCCCTTTACAGGAAAAGTTTGCCAACCCTGCCTATTGAACACAGTCTTTGGGACTGGAATTTAAGAATCCTGAAAGCTTTCCAATTGATTGTAGTGATTGTAGTTAAGTGTATGGGACCAGTAGGCTAGATCGTGATTCTCAATCTTTGATGTGCCTGGATGCTCACTGTAGATCTTGTTAAAATGCAGATTCTGATTCATTGGGCTAGGAAGTGCATTTATAAAAGTTTCTAGGTGATGCTAATGTTGCTGATCTGTTTACCCCAATTAGAGCAGCAAAGGACTTGCTATGGCCATTTGAAACTGTTATTCACTGTGGGTTTCAACTCTTAAGATTCTGGCTGTGGGTTTTCCTACTATGTTTAATTTAGTTTTTATTATGTATTAAATGTTGCTAACCATAACTCTAAAGTAAAAAAGCCTTTTATTCAGTGTATAAAAATCTCTGTGTTGTTGTCTTTTTGTTTGTTTGTTTGTTTTGTTGTTGTTATTGTTGTTATACTAATACAGTTTCACAGAATGAGATCTTAGGTTTTCTTACAGATTTTTAAAATACTATGTACCATGATCTAATTGTATTTTCTGTTCCCTAAATATAAATGGATTTTAAATCACATTTAATAGTGTATCTGTTATGATAATTTATCATCATCTAAATTGCATTTTTCTTTTTATATTAGATCAACCTCAAAACGGGCAATACCACCTCCCCTTCCTCCTAAGGTGAGCTGTTGATAGATTTTAAATAATAATCTGTATAATTAAGAAAGTAATTAAAATTTTAAAATAATGTTATTGAATTTGTTCAAAAATTTTTTAAATATATTTTAGATGCAGTTTTGTTTGAGAAGTGGTATGGAGATGTAAAGTATATGTTAAAGAAGATTTCAGAAGAAATATAAAATTTTAATAGCTATTAGAAAAAGGCAAAAGTAGATTATTACTCACTTGAAAAAATACTTGGCTGCATGGAGAGGAATCATTACATTCCTGCTTTATTACTACAATTTGACATTTCAGTAAAGTCATACTTCATTAAATCATTTTCTTGCTTGTTTCTAGATATTAAATATTTTATGCCTTATTTATATACCTTTATTAGTTATAAAAATTTTATCAACTTTAAGCTATGGTTGATTAAAAATCACATGGCAAATTTATGGCTATGTTGAGACAGTAACTCAACTCTTGCTTACTTTGCTTATATTTAGTTCAGTGAATTGAACTCTATAGAAGAAAGAAAAATAGGCATGTCCTCCTCCCCCTAAAGTCTTTGATACATAATGATAATGAAGTATTACTGTTTTATATTCAAATTTATTAAAGTACTTTTGTATCTTACTGTCACTAGCCAAGAATAAACAGTTACCATGAAGACAACCTTCTAGATGAAGAAAAATCATCAACTATAAAACGTTGCCCTGACTCAGAAAACAGAGCTCCCCAAGTTCTCAGAAGACAGAGTAGCCCAAGTTGTGTTCCTGTAGCTGAGACTTCCTCTATTGGTATGGCTAACAGTATTGGCAGCCCTGGAGTACATACAGCTAGATATTAAGATCTGGGCATATAAATGAAAGTGACAATTGAAAAGAAAGCCATTTTGATCATGTTTTAAAGAATGTCTTTTTTCTTTAGTCAATTTTATTAGTCTTTAAATCTTTGTGAAATTTTTTAAAATTCCACATGGGATTTTAATATTTACATAGATTCAGTCCAACTCAACTCTAATTTGATTCATCACTAAATATTGGAGGATCTAGAAAGATGATTGGATGTTCTACTATCCAGCAGTTCAGGATCTATAGTAGAAGTTATACCTTTGAAGTTATGTACACATAACATTAGGCAAGACAGTTTGTATAAGTGTCTTCTATAGTAATTAACTATATGTAATAGAGAATGAGACATATCTAAGAGAGATGAGGATAGGGAGAGGAAGTGGGCCCTTGCAAAGTATTTAAGGGCTTGGTGAGCCTTCAGTAGGTGGAGCCAGTGCTGGCAGGCATTCTTGGAGAGCAAGAAAGAATAAACAAATGTACTGAAGCATGAAAATTTTAATATATTGGAAATACAGTCTAATATGGTAGAAATGTGAACTTCTAAAGGATATATACTGAGAGATTGGACCAAAAAGATAGAATGAAGTTCAATTATGAAAGGCCTTGAATGTCAGCATCAATAGATCAGATTTTGTTTTTCTCGCATATGAAAAGACATTTGTTGTTTTCATGCATTTAGATCACTGCTAAAGATGCTATGCTACCTGTATAGAATCCAGAGAAAGGAACGAAAAATACCTTAACCTGTCTGGCAGAGAATATTTCCCAATAAAGGACTATCCAATATTATGCTAAGTGAAATAAATCAGAAAAAGACAAATACCATATAATTTCACTTATATATGTAATCTAAAAAACAAAAACAAATGAACAAACAAAATAAAAGCAGGTTCATAGATATAGAGAGCAGATTGACATTGCCAGAGGTGAGGAGTGATTTGGAAGGCTAGATGAAAAAGGCGAAGGGATGAAGAGTACAAATGGCTGGTAATAAAATAGTCACAGGCATATAAAATACAGCATAGAGAATATTGTCAGTAATACTATAATAACTAAATGTGGTGCCAAGTGGGTACTTGTGATATGGGGGAGTGGGGCGACCACTTTGTGAAGTATGTACTTGTTTAACCACTATGTTGTACACCTGAATGTAAGCTGTAAAACTGAAAAAAACATAGTGGCGGGGGAGGGAAAGTTGTTTTTTAAGGAAAGTACTTATTTGCATGGTTCTTCAACTTTTAACCATGATTCTTTTTAGGAAATGGTGATGGTATTTCAAAACTGATCAGTGAAAATACAGAAGGATCAGCACAAGTACCACAGCTCCCACGAAAAAAGGACAAGAGAGAGTTCCCTGTAGGTATAACAGGCACTTGGTTATTAGTTGTAACTAATGCTGTATTTATCATATAAGGGGCATAGTCTATTAAATTGAAGAATTTAAATAACTAAATTTCAAAATTTATAAAGTTTTTTTAAGGCTTAAGAGGTCTTACAGTATTAATTTTTTTTTTTAACCCCAGAAACCGGTCATCAATGGCCTCCCACCCACTCCAAAAGTGCTGGTAAGGAATATTTTTATATAAATTACTTTCCAGTTTTTATCTCCTTAGAGGCAGCAACAAATTGTTTATTGAGCCATTGAAAGGTTTATAAAATACAAAGACATTAAATGTATTTGGGTATACCATATACCCTAATTTGAGTGAGTTGGATAGAATTTGGAGTTTCACTTTTTATAAATATGGGCAGTTGGGTCTCAGATTAGCCTATAAAGGCCAATTTAATTTTAATGTGATAATATTAATAGTACTGTGTCCTCTTATATGGGTTAAATATTTTTCTACAAATGAAACCATTTTCACATTGAACTATGCATAATGGAAAAAAAAACAGACTCTTTTGTTAATGCTTGTTCTTGGGTCTTTCACTAGAACCTACCATATGAATAGGATGCTTTATAAATTGTACTTTTTATTTAGTAAAAGTCTAACATATAGTATAAATATTAGTCTATTAAAGAGTTATAGCACAATGATTACTCAGTAAAATCATCCATTGTTTCACATTATTGTTAGTCCTAAAAATAAGCAGTGACTTAAAATTTTTAACATGAGTAGATGTTTTAATAAATTTGATATTTTTGCCCTAAAATATGGATTACACAGGAAAGATTATGAGACCCTATTGGTAGAAGAGGTTAAATAACATAGAAATATGAATCTTGTTTTGTAATGAAGCTATAAGTATATGTAAATAAGAGTCAATTTAACATTTCATAATAATCTTAGCCATTTTCTAAGAATATACAAAATTATTTATCAAATAAATCAACATTTTTTTCTTTATAAATAAGATGGGAGCATGTTTTTCCAAAGTTTTTGATGGATGCCCTTTGAAAATTAATTGTGCAACATCCTGGATACATCCTGATACAAAAGGTAAAATTTCTGAACTTTTATATACATCTCCAATAAAATACTTTGGGAAGGGATTTTTATGATCCTTAGAAACAGCAACAAATTGTTTATTGAGCCACTGAATGGAAAGGTTTATAAAATACAAAGACATTAAATGTACTTGGTTATACCATATACCCTAATTTGAGTGAGTTGGCAGCCCTAGAGTACATACAGCTAGATATTATGAACTGAGGTTGTTACTTTAAAATATGACTTAGCGCCTAGGTGGTTTCCCTCAGTGGATAGAGCAGCGGACTAGAAGGGTCCCTGGTTCGATTTTGGTCAAGGACCTGAACCTTGGTTGCAGGCTCTATCCGGCCCTGGTTGGGATGTGTATCCAAGGCAACCAATCAATGTGTCTGTATCTCACATCGATGTTTTTCTTTTCCCCTCCATTCCACTCTCTCTAAAGGTCAATGGGAAATATCCTCATGTAAGGATTAAAAACAACAAAAAATATGACTTAGATATTAAATAGTGTAGGTACCTACAACACTTAAGCAGGTTAATAGAGTTCTTATTTAAAATATTAGCATGTAGCCAAAACTGGTTTGGCTCAATGGATAGAGCGTCGGCTTGAGGACTGAAGGGTCCCGGGTTTGATTCTGGTCAAGGGCATGTACCTTGGTTGTGGGCATATCCCCAGTAGGGGGTGTGCAAGAGGTAGCTGATCAGTGATTCTCTCTCATTGATGTTCCTAACTCTGTATCTCTCTCCCTTCCTCTCTGTACAAAATCAATAAAATATATATTTTTTTAAAAAGTCAATAAAATATTAGCATGTAGGAGTACATACAGCTAGATATTATGAACTGAGGTCACAGGAAGTGACCCAGCCAGTATTGCTCAATGGTTGTTCATCGAACTATGAACCAGGAGTCATGGTTTGATTCCCGATCAGGGCTCATGCCTGAGTTGTGGGCTCAATCCCCATTTTGGGGTGTGCAGGAGGCAGCCAATCAATAATTTCTTTCATCATTAATGTTTCTATCTCTCTCTCTCTCCCTATCCTGTCCTCTCTGAAATCAATTTACATATATATATATATATATATATATATATATATATATATATATATATATATAGTATATAGGAAATGTTCCTGATTAAAGGAGACCAAAGAGACATCAAAACTGATTACAGTTGTGCTTTGGGATTTTCTTTTATGTAAAAAGACTGCTTGGACAGTTGATAATCTCAATATTATTTCACTGTGAATGTCCTGATTTTGATCATTGTACTGTGATTATATAAGAAGTTGTTCTTTTTCTTTAAGAAATGTACACCAAAATACTTAGGAGCAAAAGGGCATTAGGCTTGTAACTTATCTGAAGGGGGAAAAAAGTTCAGCAAAAAATGTGTTTATGGAAAGAGAAAGAAGGATAAAGCCAAAGTAGTAAATGTTAACAGATGTGTGATCTTGTGTGAAGGACATTTAGGAATTCTTTGTACTGCAAGTGTGAAATAATGGCAAATAATTTTTATTTTCAAAAATTTAGACTACATTTTTAAAGTGAGCAAGCATAATACATAACGGCAAAAATTTGGAATCAAACAGATCTGGGTTTGAATTCCCTCTGTCATTACTGTGTGACTTGGGAAAGATACTTTGGTTCTCAGTATGATCATTTATAACAGAAAACTGTTATATAACTCACCTTGTTGCAAGGAAGCAGAGCCTGCCTGGGTGTCTGGTAATTAGCAAACAGAAATTAGGTAGTAGAGGGTGTTCAGGAAATGTCTGTTTTTATTTCAACACAGTAATAAGACAGGTCATATCAAATTATCTGCTTTAAATGTCATTTCAAGCTATAAAAAGAAAATATTTTTAACAGTAAGGAAATTTATTTTTTTGTGTATGTGTTTGTAAATTTACATTTTGTTATAATTTCAAACTTATGAAAAATTAGAAAAATAGTGCAAGAAACTCAGAATTATTGATTGTATCTATTTTGCCCCATTTGTTGTACTATACTCTATATGTGCATTTTTTTCTGAATTACTTGAGAATGAGTTGAAAACATCATGCTCTCTTTTCCTGAAATTTCTCCTATCATCTCTTATATAACCACAATACAATTATAAAGATCAGGATATTTATCAGTGATATAATACTATTTTTTAATCCACAATGCATATTTAAATTTTATTAATTGCTCCAATAATATCTTTTATCATTTCCAACCTTTCTCCTATTCCCATGCCCCAGTTCAAAATTCAAGGTCACATGTGATAGTTAACTACCATGTCTCTTTAATCTACGTTAGTCTTGAACAGTTTATCAACCTTTCTATCTCTCTCTTGATCTTGACATTTTTGAGGCTACTTAGTTTGTAGAATGTCCCTTAATTTGGGTGAGTCTTCATGCTTAGATCAGGTTATGCATTTTGGCAGGAATGTCACAGAAGTGTTATTGTGCTCATCTCAGTGCATCGTATCAGCATATCCAAATACTAGTGACATTAACATTAACCAGTTGTTTTAGGCAATGTTCATTAGCTAGGTTCTCTACTGGTGAGTTACTGTTTATTGCTTTCTAATAAATAAGTACTTATTTTCCCAAACTACTCTCTATATATAAAAGCCCAACGACCAGAATGACCCATCACTATAATGAGCGTCAGGGGGCAGACGCTCCATGCACTGCGCTCCCACAAGGGGAGTGCCGCTCAGCCAGAAGCCAGGCTCATGGCTGGCGAGCACAGCAATGATGGCGGGAGCCTCTCCTGCCTCCAAGGCAGAGCTATGGAGCAGGGAGCCTGGCTTCTCAGAGATTGGCTTAAGCTGGCAGGGGAACATGCGAGAGGGCTCAGGCTGGGCTGAGGGACCTTCCCATACCCAAGTGCACGAATTTCATGCATGAGGCCTCTAGTTGATAATAAGTGTGGAGATACATTAAAATTATATAAATATCCTCTTATTCATCAGACTTTTCACCAACTAGATTAGCATCTATTGGAGACAATCCATTTATATCTATTGACACAGTAATTTTCCCTTTCCCATTTATTCAAGTATTTTTACCAATTTGAATGTATGAATTCTTTCATTTATTCAGTGAGGTATGATCTATCACTTTTAATATTTATTGTAGCCCTTAAATTTTCAGAATTTTTTGAGCAATAGGAACTCCTGTCTTCTTTTGTTTGATATGTCCTCATCATTTTTTGAGAACTTCCTTATTTTCTGAAACAGCAAGATTTCTAAACTAATCTTATACTTTCCTTGCCCAGGATTAGAATCTTTGTTTTTAAAGTTGAAAATAGTATTTAGGAACCAGGGTTTGTATACTGGGTATGCTCATGATTTCTGGTGTCACAATGTATAATTTCTATTTAATTTGTAGTTTCCTTGTTCAAAGACTATTTGAGATGTCTGGTAAAAAATATATACCGTAACTAATAATAAAAAAGTTTAAGGTATGAAAATTATTATGTTGAAAAAAGGATGTATAGATAAATCCAAAGAAAAGAATAGGAAAAAGTTAAATAAGGTGGCATGAATTTTATTTTACATATATACATTATTGATTTTACACAGAGAGAAATTGAGAGGGATAGAGTTAGAAACGTTAATGAGAAACATCAACCAGCTGCCTCTTGCACACCTCTTACTGGGGATGTGCCCGCAACCAAGGTATGTGCCCTTGACCGGAATCGAACCCAGGACCTTTCAGTCCGCAGGCCGACGCTCTACCACTGAGCCAAACCGGTTTCGGCAAAGGTGGCATGGATTTTAAAAAAAAATTTTTCTTTGGATGGATGGGTAGCTGTTGACTCTTAGTACCATTAAAAAAATAGAGCCATTATTTTAATGAGTGATTTCAGAAACTGATAGTAAATTCTGATGGTTTATCTCAACTATTTTAGATCAGTACATTATTTTTGGAACTGAAGACGGTATTTACACATTGAATCTCAATGAGCTACATGAGGCAACGATGGAACAGGTAATTAAGGAGTTTTAACTCAAGAGTTGAGTAAATTGAGCAAAAGAAATATCTTAATTTCAAATCAATCTATATAGGCCTCAGTCTTAATTTTTATGATTTGAATATTTAAAGAAGTGAATATTTTTTATTTAAATATTTTATGATTTAAATATTTAGAGAGAGAGAGAAAGGGGGGAAGCTTTTTTCTGTAAGATTTTGGTAAATTACTGAAATGTAGAAAATAGTTATTTTTATACTATTTTAGACTGTTGGAATTTGGAGGTTAAGAGGTAAGAAGATGAAAATTGGAGAGTTTTAACTATCTTCTCTTTTTATTTTTTTTATAGTTATTTCCAAGGAAATGTACTTGGCTCTATGTCATCAATAATACTTTAATGTCATTATCGGGTATGTATATGATGAACGTAATGTAAAAAATAAATCATAAACAAGCAGAGAAATACAATTTTAATATGCATTATTTAAAAACATTATTTGTTATTCTTTGTATAATTTAGTATAGTAACTTTAATGTCTTTTTACCAACTTAGAATGGGAAGAAACTTTGAGAAGGGACCCTATCTTCCGTTAAGGTAGCACTTCCCAAATCTGCCCAGGATCTCAGCATCAGAGGACTATCTGGTGATTGTTACCTGAGGCCATGCCCTTCCACCCATCCATCTCCACTTCACTATTATTCCTGCCTTCTGTTGAAAATTAACAGTTGAAGGGAAAGAATCAGAGGACCTAGCTGCTCTCTTCTCTGTTATCTTGAGCAAGTCTCTCTCAGGCTTAGTTTTTGTAATTGTAAACGAGAATGATGGTAACAATAACAGCTTCAGAGGTGGCTGTGAGGATTGGATGCAATAATATCCAGAGTGCTTGATAAACTGTAAAGACTTCAACAGATGTTTCCTGGTAGAATTCATGTTATTCTGGGCCACATATTATCTTGGACCGATGCTTTGAAGTCTTATAAACAAGTGGGTGCCAGAGCAACCTATTCTAATTTAGTTTTTGTGTTTTTCTTTTTTTGGTTGTTGTTGAGGACAGGTTCATGGGTGGCATTTTAGGCTTTTTAGTTTTTTTCATTCTTACCTACAAAAACCTATTTTCTTTTATATTTAGATTTAATTGGCTATCTAGAGATTTGCTACTTGCTTTTATTTTGATAGAGTACAAGATAATTATTTCTCTCTGTTCCTTAATTTGATCCTAATACTATTAAAATAGCACTCACCCCTTTTTCTGCTTTGAATAATTAAATAATTTTAGTATTTAAAATTCTTTTTGTTTGATACTCTCTTGTACTGTGTATCAGTGGATCAGGTGAGGGTTACATCCCTGCTCTATTTACTGTACTGTCAGATTTATCAGCATAAAGTGTACCTTCCAGCTACTTTTGGTTTAAAGCATCAGTGCTGATACACATTCTTACTTGTTGATAGATAGATCATTATGAACTATGGCCTAATTTAAGAAATGTTGTTTTCATCATTTTAAGTGTGGATGTGTAACTTAAATTCTTCCACTAGCCATCATCTAATTAGAAATTCTTAAGGAGTTTATATATGTAAGCTAATGACAGTATTTACGAAGAGCTTATTATTTGATTGTGCATAAATGGCTTCTAAGAAGATGGGGTCCTCAAAAGAGTATTTAATCTCTTTGATTTAAATTAAGTTTCCCCAAAATTTTATATACTTTTGTTTAACAAAATAATTAATTGATAATGATTATGATGAAAATAAACTTAAACACAATTGTTTCAGTTAATTTACAACCGTGAATTATCCTATTTATTAAAAGGGTAATATGCAAATTAACTGTCACTCCATCACAAAGATGGCAGCACCCATAGCCACAAGATGGTGGTGCTCAGTCCCCTCAGCTCTGCTAGATCTAAACAAGCCCCCCAGTCCTGGGGGGCTGCTGCTGAGAGTGGACAGCATGAGTGGCCTGGCGGAATGCTTGCTTCGTCACCATGGCAACAAGGCAAGCGTCCTTCCCCAGCCACAGAGGGCTTTGGGACAGTGCGTGCACAGAGTGGTCAAGGCTGGATGCTTACTTCGTCGCCATGGTGACGCAAAATGCATCCCACCCCGGCCACAGAGAGCCTCTGAGCAGTGTGTGCACAGAATGGACAGGGCAGGATGCTTGTCTCATCGCTGCGGCAATGAGGCAAACATCCCACCCTGGTCGCAGAGAGCCTCTGGACCGTGGAGAGCCTCTGGGCAGCAGGCACAGAGTGGCCAGGCTCCACAGAAAGCAGCGAACTATGGGGAGTTGATCTAAACAAGCCTTCAGATCTCCCAGATTGGAGAGGACTCCCCTGAGGGAATCCAGATTGGAAAGGGTACAGGTCGGGCTGAGGGACCCACCCTCTGTGTACAAATTTTGTGTCCTGGGCCTCTAGTCTACATATAAGATCACTTTCCTGTAACACTTCTTTTATAACTATTCATGCCTGTTTTTGGAAATAAACTTAAAAGCCATACAGATAAGTCTTATTCTGTCTAATAAAAGAGAAACATGTAAATTAACCGTACCTTGGTTATGCCCACCAGCCAATCAGAGCAAGTATGCAAATTAACCCAACCAAGATGGCAGCAGCCATGGAGCTGGAGTGAGCAGGAAGCTTGAGTTGCCCCCAGTGATGGAGGAAGCAAAGCTTCCTGCTCACCCTGGCAGGCCCTGGCCTCTCCTCAAGGCTACAAAGTTTCAGTTATAGAAAATAAATAAATCCCAGGTACCTGCTTCCAGGAAGTGCTGAAAAAAATACAAAAAGAGGTGCTGGGAGCTTGGGTTGCCAGGGACCTTGGCCAGCCCCTCATCCAGGCTGACCAGGCACCCCAGTGGGGACCCTCAACCTGAAGGTGGTGTGGCCAGCCTGAAAACAGACCTCAGCCCCTCACCCAGCTGGCCACACCCACATGGGATGATGGTCCCTGCTGAGGGACTTGGCCAGCCTGCCAACAGCTATCAGCCTCTTACCCAGGCTGGCCAGGCACCCCAGTGGGAACTCCCACCCTGAAGGTGCTGTGGCCAGCCTGCAAACAGCCCTTAGCCCCTCACTCAGGCTGGCCACACCCCTAGGCCCAATCTCTATAAATGGCAGTCGAACATCTCTTGAGGGGTCCTAGATTGGAGAGGGTGCAAGCTGGGCTGAGGGCCCCCCTCCATGCACGAATTTCATGCACAGGGCCTCTAGTCCTATATAATAAAAGGCTAATATGCAAATTGTCCCCTCAACAAGGAGTTCAACCAGCAGGCAGGCCAGCCAACCACCCATGCCCCCTCCCCTTGGCCAGGCTGGCCCGACCCCACCCATGCATCAATTTATGCACCGGGCCTCTAATATATATACTGAGTGTACAGATTATTATACATTCAGAGATCATCATAATCTGGCTACTCAGTGTATAGAGGTAATGGAGAAAAGAAGGGTGGTGCAATGTTAGGCAGAATGTTTGCATTCTAAAAAACTATAGAGAATTTTGTTGAGGATGAGACTGGCGCACACTCTCTCTCCACACACACATACATATGTACATACAGGGGCAAAACTAGGTTTACCGTTGTTAGTATGAGGAATATAATAATAAATAATTAGTAATAATTAGTAATAATAAGAAATTGCTTTACATACAACTGTAAACCTTTTGCCTCACCCTGTGAATGTATATGTGTGTGTGTATATATATATAATTTTCTAATGCTAAAATGATAAATAAATACTGTTTTATGTTTATATATCACTAGAGGCCCAGTGCATGAATTCGTGCATGGATGGGGTCCAGCCGGCCTGCCCTGATGGGGGCCGATCGGGGCCAGCGGGGGAGGGACTGCTGGAGGTTGGCCAGTCGCCCTCCCCTGATCAATACAGTTGGCCAGCCACAGTGGGCATCATAGTGACCAGTCATTCCAGTCGTTCCAACTTCCCAGTCACTGTCTTTTTATATATATATAGGTACCATGTATAACAAGGAATGAGATGTTTACCATATGCCTCTATGCTTAAGACAGCTATGGTTTTGATTATATGGAAATAATGCTATTACTTCCTATTATTTTTATATAATAATCACTATTATCCTTGTTTAATGGCATATGTTAGTTTGCTTTCCACTTCTTAGTATTTCAATCTGTTAGAAAAATGTCATTCACAGTTTTAATCCAAAATATTTTGATAAATTATTAATAAATAGCTCTATCCCAGAAAATAAGGTAACATAGTTTTATAGAAGTTTCCATGTTATGCTAAAATAATCACATGCACATCATCGTAACTCAATCCATTGTACATAGATGTTCAGCAATGTTGTTTCTATACTGACTTCATTAAGGTTTATGTATATTCTACCCAGGTCACCTACTAGTCAGAATAGTCCTAATTTGTGTATTAAGAAACACAATTGTCTATTTTCTTAAAACTAACTTTACCTGTTATCTTTCAAAATAGTATTAACTGGGTTTTTTGTTTGTTTGTTTGTTTTATATTGATTGGCTTTTTGAACATTTCTGGACTCCTCGTTTTAGAAGGTAATTATGTTTTGTTTTTGTTTTTTGCTTAAAAATTGTATTTTTTCTTCTGTAGATGATTCTAATAAAAATAACATGTTTCTCTTTTATAGGAAAAAGCTTTCAGCTCTATTCACATAATCTTATAGCTTTGTTTGAACAAGCCAAAAAACTAGGATTAGCTGCTCATATTCAAACTCATAGGTTTCCAGACCGCATACTTCCAAGGTACAAAATGTTTTTATTCCAGAAGAGAAAGAAATTGTTTATTTTTAAAATAGCCATTATTCTTTGCCCACTGGAAAACTTTCTTTGTCTTGGTTTTAAAAGATAGTTTACACTAAAGTACATGTCATATAAAATTTGAAAGATCTGTGTTTCCATGAGAATTCCCCTATGGAAGTATTTTTAGTGCATCTTATTTTAAATTTTCATTTACTTTCAATATTTTGTTTTGGTTTTAGGAATATAGCATAGTGGTTAGACAATCATGTATTTTATAAGGTGTTCCCCCTGATGTTTTCACTACCCACCTGGTACCATATGTGCCAGTATCATTGAATAAATTCCCTATGCCGTACTTTACATCCCCATGACTTTTTTTTTTTTTAATGTATTTTATTGATTTTTTACAGAGATGAAGGGAGAGGGATAGAGAGCTAGAAACATCAATGAGAGAGAAACATCGACCAGCTGCCTCTTGCACACCCCCCACCGGGGATGTGTCTGCAACCAATGTACATGCCCTTGACTGGAATGGAACCCGGGACCTTTCAGTCCGCAGACCAATGCTCTACCACTGAGCCAAACCGGTTTCGGCCCCATGACTATTTTGTAACTACCAATTTGAACTTCTTAATTCCTTCACATCTTTTACCAAGTTCCTCACCCCCCAGGTCTCTTCTGGCAACCACCAATCCACCCTATGTCTATGAGTCTGTTTCTATAGAAGTTTTATAATACAGACTCCCAGGCCCTGCCTTAGTCCTATAAAATCATACTTTAGAGTCAGAATCCAAGAAGCTCCTTAATGGTTCTGATGTAACTGATTCACAGACCACTGTTTGGAAGCCATTAAAATAGAGTAATTTATATTGTCTTATGTTTTCAGAAAGTTTGCTTTAACTACAAAGATTCCTGATACAAAAGGCTGCCACAAATGTTGCATAGGTGAGTAAATGCTATTTCTCAAACTGATGGTTAGAAATTTTAACATCTTTAAAATTATCTGAAAAGACTTACAATATCAAATGGGAAGGAAGATAGGCTTTATATTTCTTTTTATAAGGAGTTAAGGGGCCAGTGAGGCACAAGAATGTAGAGTGGGACATGGGATAAAAATGCTTGGAGATAGTAGTCCTTTCTCAGAGCATAGTGTGCCTAGAATTTTCTAACCTTAGTCCCTGGGGGTAGTTCAGTATTTGTGTGCCCTCAATTCATCAACTGTTGCTGGTTTTGTACCTGAACTTTATCTTTGATTTATCCCCATAAAAAAAGTCTAGTGTAAATTTTCTTTGTTCAAAGCTTAGTCTGGCTTCACCCATTATTTCAAATCAGTTAAACATGAAGTGAAAAGGAGTGAAAATTAAGAGAGCTAACAGCTGTACAAGTGTGTATACATTTTTTTTGTTGAGGGGGAGGACACCCTATGACCCAAAATATGTACACATACTTTGCGTAATTATAAAGGCAGTGTTTGTCCTTCAACTGCATTTTCAAACTTCCAGTACCATTTTAGGATGAATTTCCTTATTCAAAGCTTAGTCTGGCTGAAAAGAAACATCAACTGAGATATCAGCTGTTAAAGGGTGTGTGTACATGTTTTTGGGACACCAGTACATTAAGATAGAGCTTATTGCAGATAACTACTTTTATAGTCATTATTGATGAGAGTCAAATTGCAGAGAAGGAAAGACCAATAAGTTTTTGAAGATTTGAGTCAAGGAAGTTACATCTTTAGTAAGATATAAAACAGTTAGTTTCACCTTGTTTTAACTCATCTGTAAACTATACCAAAAATGAAATCATAGATTTCAGTTTCCTCCTAGACTTTGTCTAGATTCTCTTTCAGTCAATTTACTTAAGAAAGCCGCTTTTCAAGGAGACATATGTAAAACTTTAAAGAATTTAAAAAAAGGAAGAAGAAGCAGCTCTTCAGCTTGCATACTAATTTAAGTGTTTTAGTGCATAAAATACTGTTTTGTAAAAAGTTCCTCTGCTTAACAGTGCACTATGTTAAAGATGTTTAGAAATAAATGTATCTAATTTTAAAATAAAGAGGTAATGTCGGGGAGCAATAGGGGGTAAGGACACATATGTAATACCTTAATAAAGAAAAAAATAAAACAAAGAGGTAAGAAACTGAAAAGGAAAGTGTAACACCTCCCCCCCTCAAAAAAAATACATCTTTACTTTTTACTCATTCTTATCACCCTAGTGAACAGAAACAATAATTTTTTTTTATCAGCTGAATAATTTCTTCAAATAGTTCTTCCATCCACAGAAGGCAACATTTTCTTATTTTTCCCCCCCATGTATATTAGCATTGCCTTTATAAAAAAAAAAAAAAAAAAAGATGAGTTAGCTTTTAGGAGAGTCTAGCTTTGAGCTAAACTAATGATTTTTTAAATATTTTTTTTCATTTATAGTTTACATTCAATGTTATTTTGTATTAGATTCAGGTATATAGCATAGTGGTTAGAAAGAAACCAGTTATATGTTCATAGAAAGGTATTCAGTGTTTTAGGTATGTCTGTTTTGTTTCCTTCCAGTCAGAAACCCTTACACAGGACATAAATACCTCTGTGGAGCTTTACAGTCTGGAATTGTTTTACTTCAATGGTATGAGCCAATGCAGAAATTCATGTTGATAAAGGTATATATTACTTTGTTTACATTTTTCTTCTTCAGAAAACACTAGTATGCAACTGAACTTAAATTTTTAAGAATCCATTATCACTATGTAGAATGGGCATGTTTATAGTTATTTATAGCTAGGTCTTTATTTGGGTTAGGAGTTTTTTCTTAAGATTGCCTCTTTTTTTTTTTTTTTTTTTTTTCTTAGCAAAAGCAAAATTTTATTATAGAAAGGATAGCAAAGAGGGGACCCAAGTGGGTTGCTTTTCTTTTTAATTTACGTTAATAAACTTTTAGAAGCATCCCAGCCATGGAGATGAATGTGGTCAATTCTCTAAAACATATTTTATAGATTTTTATGATCCTAATAAGTGATTATTTTTAAAATTACATCAAGAAAATTAAAGGCTTTCCATTGACTTTATTCAGCAATAGTATTGTTTCTAAATTATACTTCTATTCAGAAATTGTTTCTAAATTATACTTCTTTTGTTTATTTTTGCAGCACTTTGATTTTCCTCTGCCAAGTCCTTTGAATGTTTTTGAAATGCTGGTAATACCAGAACAAGAATACCCTATGGTCTGTGTAGCTATTAGCAAAGGCACGGAATCAAATCAGGTAGTTCAGTTTGAGACAATCAATTTGAATTCTGCATCTTCATGGTTTACAGAAATTGGTGCTGGTAAGTGTTTTTATCTTATGTTAAAATATTGATGATTTTGCATATGAAAAAAACCAGAATGATTTCAACCGATGTGGGTTCAGTCAAATAAACACTCAGATCATAGTTTCCCAAGAAGCCTAGAGAATCATGTACATACAGTTTATGATCTCTACCTGCCTGAGGTAATTTGATACAAATTACTTTACCAAGGAAAATTTTAATGATTTAAGTTTTCTAAGATACAGGGGTGGGGAACAGTAGGTTTACAATTATGAGTATGGGAAACACAGAGTTTATTCTTGTTTTATTATGTATTAATTTGTATTTTTTCATACAAACAACTGTGGACCTACTTTTGCCCACCCCTGTACTTTTTCAAATTTACCAGCTTCTCAAGCAAAGAGGTTTACATCTTTTTTTTCCTTATCAGTTTTCCCTCAACACTGCTTAGAATCATTGAGTTCAGGTGCTTTCCATGTGTGGCATCCAGCTTTATCATTCAAATATACGGGGACATATCTCTTGCACTGTCTGAGAATAATTCATTAGCTTAAAGTTTTATCCAACATGTCTCAATGGAATTTCAGAAAAAGTTGGGAAATTTATATTCAAACTTTAAAATTGGAACAAATCAATCAACTTATTTTTAAAACCTACATAAGTAAGTGAAATGAAGGAGTCTTCATTTCAAATGTTCTATCCACTGAGCCAAACCAGCTAGGGCTCTAAGATTTTTTTATTGATTTTTACTCTTATTCTAAGCATATTGTCAGCACCCCATAAATATTTGTTCAATAAATGCATGAACATAGATTTACTGAGAAAAACTATTTTTGGACTATTGCTCAAGTGACCAACCATTTTATCAGTTCTGTCCACCAGAATTCTTCTCTGTGTATGAGCTTTGGAAGGTCCAAAAACATCCAAAAATAATATATAAAACTTTGTATTTACATTTAAATGCGCAGTTTTTAAGGGAGAGGATCCATTGGCTTCCCAAAGAAAATCAGTTAATAATGATTGCGCTAGCCCTAGCTGGTTTGGCACAGTGGATAGAGCATCAACCTGCAGACTGAGGGGTCCTGGGTTAGAATCTGTTCAAGGGCACATGCCCAAGTTGCAAGCTCAATCCCCAATAGGGGGTGTGCAATCAATGCTTCTATTACATCGATGTTTCTGTTTCTTCCTCTCTCTTCCTCTGTGAAATCAATAAAAATATATATTTTTTAAAAAAGAATGACTACACTAAATAATCTAAAATATTTTTCTTTGACTTAGCTGGACTATTCAAGCAATCTGAGTGCCTAAAATGAATTGTTTAATCAAAAATGCCATTATACACACAAACACGCACACACACACGCACACACACACAAATGCCATCACATCTGTCAGTATATATATCAAAAGAAACAACCCTGCAAATATCAGCAAAGTGATGAAAATTATTTCCTGCCAAGAAATTGTTGACAAAAATGTTCATTATATTACTAAGTGTCCTCTTTAATAAGGAATTTTACACACACACACACACACACACACACACACACACACCAGGAAATTTTTTCTTTGATTATGGTTTTAATTTAATTTAATTTTTGTTTTTCTGAATTACTGATTTGTTTTTTATCTCAGGGATGCTGTGATTCACATAACTGATCTTGTTTCCATCTTTCCATTGGTTCCTTTAAAATGGAGAGCAAAATCTAATCATTGTATAGCATGCACCTTACATTTGTATATTTTACCATTTGCTTCATTGTATTTTTGTAACTCACCTTTTTAGAACTAGCTGAAGTGTTAATTAACAGTAATTTTTAGCTTTTCTCAGCTCACTTAGCCTTACTTGGGACTTAATGATTGTTCTCCTAAGTTGACCTATATACATATTTTGAAAAAATAGCATATTATTACAAAATCCAATTTGTGTTAAATTTCAAAGATTAGTTTCAAATCACAGAAAATTATTTTCTAAGTTCTATTTTTTTTTATTGTTTCAAGTATTACATATAGTAGCACATATATCTCCTTCCCCCCCCCCCCTCCATTGACCTTCCCCCAGCCTCCCCTACCCCCTGTCGCATGCCCGCATCCCACCCCCCAGTGTCTTGTGTCCATTGGTTGTCCATTGGCTGACAATATGCTTATATGCATGCATACAAGTCCTTTGGTTGATCTCTTTCCACCTCCCTCCCCAACACTCCCCAGCCTTCCCACTGTAATTTGATAGTCTGTTCGGTGCTTTACTGCCTCTGTATCTATCTTTTTGTTCATCAGGTTGTTAAAGATTGTTATAGAACTAACATTATTTTTTTCCCCTCCAAGGCAACCAACAGTTAGATTCCATTCATGTAACACAGTTGGAAAGAGATACCGTTTTAGTGTGTTTAGATAGTAAGTACTATTTTAAAATTTATTCTGAATGTTCTACTTGATATAACGAGTCTTTTCACTGAAATTATTCTATTATGCTATAATTGAAAATTTTTCACTTTTTTCATCTTAAGTGACCTTATTTTATTGATGAAAATCTAAATTGGCTACAGATATCATAAATAGTAATTAATAGATGTTTGTCATTACTATTCTCTGTGACTTTTTTTTGTTTGGCCTACTTGAAAACATTATATTAGAACAGTTTGCCATAACTTTGGGGTAAAAATCTATATAAAACTATTCTGTATAAAATTCTTGTGTAAAACTATTTTGAGGTTTTTTTTCCATAACTCAATTAATGAAAACTAGAAGGTATGTTCATGAGCCACTTAATGGGAATACCCAGATCTAAAAAATGCATTGTTAGGTGATTCTGTCATTATGGGAACATCTTAAAAGTGCACTTACCCAAACCTCGATGGTACAGCCTCTACACGCCTAGATTATATATGGTATACAGCCTGCTGCTTCTAGTTTACATATATGTACAGTATGAACTTTACAGCATGAGAGTAAATCAAGCACAAGAGAAAACGGTGCATTCAGGAGGCACTCTAAACATTAGATGTGTGTGGCAGCTGCCAACGTAACACATCATGCTATTTTATGGAAAACATTACTTTCTGTAAATAGAAAGCATACACTAAAATAACAGTAAAAAGTGTAGAATAATCTACACTAATAAGAGAGAAATACTATACCCACAAGCCACGCCCACCAGCCAATCAGGAGCAAGTATGCAAATTAACCCAACCAAGATGGCTGCAGCCATAGAGCAAACAGGAAGCTTTGGTTTCCCTAGCAATGGAGGAAGCCAAACTTCCCACCTGCTCTGGTTGGCCCTGGCCTCCACTCAAGGCTACAAAGTATCAATTATAGAAGATAAATAAATCCCAACTAAAATGGCAGCAGCCACTGAGCTGGAGAGAGCAGGAGGCTTGGGCTGCCCATGGCGATGGAGAAAGCCAAGCTTCCTGGCTGGTTCTGGCCTCCTCTCAAGGCTACAAAGTTTCAATTATAGAAAATAAATAAATCACAGATACCAGGACCTCCACTTGGGTCACCAGGGGACATGCCCACCTGCAAACCACCACAGGCCCCTGGCCCAGGCTGCCCCATGCCCCAAGGGAACCCACACCTTGATCCAGGACACCCTTCAAGGCAAACCAGCTGGCCCCCACCCGTGCACCAGTCCTCTATCCCAGTGTTTTTCAACCTTTTTTGGGCAAAGGCACACTTGTTTCATGAAAAAAATCACAAGGCACACCACCATTAGAAAATGTTAAAAAATTTAACTCTGTGCCTATATTGACTATATATAAAGTAATTCTCTTGAATAGGAATCAAATAAACACAAAGAAAGTATTTTATAATTACTTTATTATGAAATATTAAGTAAACAAAATAGTGAAAAATTATAAAATTCTTGTCTTGTCTGCACCTATGGCACACCAGGCAACATCTAGTGTGCCGCGGAACAGCGGTTGAAAAACGCTGCTCTATCCTATCTAATTAAAGAGTAATATCCAAATTGACAGTCACTCTAACAAACAATATGGCTGCCCCCATGTGGACACAAGATGACTGCTACAAGATGGCCAACAGGGGAGGGTAATTGGGAGGGACCAGGCCTGCAAGGGAGGGCAGTTGTGGGTGATCAAGCCTGCAGAGGAGGGCAGTTAGGAGTGACCAGGCTGGGAAAGGAGAGAAGTTGGGGGCAACTGGTGAGGGGACCCAGGCCTGCAGGGAAGGGCAGTTAAGGGCAATCAGGCTGGCAGGGGAGCAGTTAGGTATCAATCAGGCTGACAGGGGAGTGCTTAGGGGGTGATCAATCTGGCAGGCAGAAGTAGTTAGGGGCAATCAGGAAGGCAGATAGGCGAGCAGTTGGGAGCCAGCAGTCTGGATTGTGAGAGGGATCCCAGATTGGAGAGAATGCAGGCTGGGCTGAGGGACACACACACCCTGTGCACAAATTTCATGCACTGAGCCTCTATGTTAAATATAAGCTATAACATAGCCATTTATTATCTTTAGTATTATGTACTATACATAATTATAAATGCTGTACTATTATATGACTGGCAGTGTAGGAGGTTCGTTTACACTTTCATCACCACAAACATATGAGTAATGTGTTGCACTACAATGTTACAAGCCTGCATCTTTAGGAAATTGAAATTTTCAGCTCCATTATAATTTCTAGAACCACCTTCATATATGCAGTCTATTGTTGATCAGATCATCATTATGCAGTGCATACCATGGTCATTTATAGTCATATAACATGACTTTTGGAATCATGTTAGTGAGGGTGTAATGTACATATAGATTTAACACCTTCATTGAGTTGGGTTTTTATTGATTTAGGAAGAGTTATCCTATATAATAAAGAGGTAATATGCAAATTGACTGTCACTCCAACACACAAGATGGCCGCCTCCATGTGGTCAAAGATGGCTGCCCACATGTGGACACAAGATGGCTGGCTGGGGAGGGCAGTTGTGGGAGATCAGGCCAGCAGGGGAAGGCACTTGGGGGTGACTTGGTTGGCAGAGGAGGGCAGTTGGCAGGGAAGGGGAAACAGGCCCGTAGGGAAGGACAGTTGGGGTTGACTGGGCCTGCAGGGGAGGGCAGTTAGGGGGGTCCAGGCCTGCAGGAAAGGGTAGTTGGGCCAACCAGGCCTGCAAGGGAGGGCAGTTAGGGACATCGGACTGGCAGGGGAGCAGTTAAGCATCGATCAGGCTAGCAGGGAAGGGCAGTTAAGGGCAGTTGGGCTGGCAGGGGAGCATTTAGGCATCTGTCAGGCTGGCAGGCAGCGTGGTTAGGGGCAATCAGGCAGGCAGGTGAGTAGTTGGAAGCCAGCAGTCCTGGATTTTGAGAGGGATGTCCGACTTCCCATTTAGGCCTGATCTAACCAGGCAATCGGATGTCCCTTGAGGGGTCCCAGATTGGAGAGTATGCAGGCTAGGCTGAGGGACACCCCCCTACCCCCGTGCACGAACTTTGTGCACCATGTTATTGATAGAAGAGTGTTATAATGTAATCAGAGAAACTTAACAACAGGTATTACTTCAGTTTTGCAAACAAACTTATTTTTATGCAGTGAATCCTGCAAGGTGAAATCCAACCTAAATTTGAAACTATATTTAAAACTTGACAGTATTTGCTATGTTTGATCCATTTTTTTTTTAAATTACTGAATAGGGTTATTTTTTAAATTGTTATACTTCCAAATCTGTCTGTATTTCCATCCTAATTTATTTTCCCTGAAGGCTACTTAGTGGATTTACCTTATATAATCATAAAGATAATCTAATATTATGGATAAGTAACTCAAAACTCAAAAGTATCTCATTTGCCCATCATTTTTAAGTACTTTGGATTCTTTTAATATTGATAAGATTGAAGTATTATTAAATTACATTTAAGTTAACCTGATAAATTTTTAATTAATTTTTTATTATTTATTAAGGTATTACGTGTGTACATATCTCCCCCATGCTCCCCCACCCCACTCCCATACATGCCCTCACCTCCCAGTGTTTTGTGTCCATTGGTTATGCTTATAAGCATGCATAAAAGTCCTTCTATTGATCTCTTATCTCAACCCCTCCCAACCTTCCTGATGTAATTTGACAGTCTGTTTGATGCTTTACTGCCTCTGTATCTATCTTTTTGTTCATCCGTTTATAATGTTCTTTATTATCCATAAATGAGTGAGATCATGTGGTATAGTTGATGAATTATATTTTACCCAAAGAGCTAGAAAGGTCTGTATTGATTAAGCAAATAAACAGATAATCACAATTTGATTTTAATAATGTTGAACCTTTAATGTTAAATCCTTAATACCTTCTGGGACATCCAAGGAAAGTAAATTGTGCTTAGTCTCATTTTGTTGATTTATGTATTTATCAAAAAAAAAAATTTAAGCCTTTGATTAAACCCTCCACTTCCCAGTTATTCAAAGTAAATGGAGAGCTGACTTTCTTGAGATATTTTTTTAAAGAACAATATAAGACTTCAAAAATTAAGCATCAACTATGCAATATGAATCGGTTTTAGTAAACACCAGTTGGAGACAGGCCTGAAATCACAAATTATGTTAGGTAGATAAGAAAGCAATACAGAGAAAGGTGTCTTCCAAGTCAGAACTAAGATGGTTAAAATGAAAAACAAATAGATGAAAGGAAAATAAAATTATGCATATCCCCATCCCAGAGTTTACTTATAAAGAAATTGTTACCCTTAAGAGTACTACTCATTGCCCTTTTGTTATAATAGTGCTCAATACTATTGTATTGAATGACTACAGATATACTTACCATGATCTGTAATTTGTAAGGGGAGAAAATCACTTATCACTTATTTAAAAGTAGCCACTTTTAAAGAAACATTGTACTTTTCTTTAACATTGTACTTTTTAAAAAATTAGAATATAAGTGTTTAATATATACCATCTAAAAAAGAAAAAAATAATAACGGAATTGCCATTTACCAGAGAAGGTACTCTTATAGTTATATTATAAAACATATTAATGACAGTTTCTCACTGGACATGTTTGAATCTAAATAGTTGAATGTCATTAAGAATATTGTTCTATATTCATGTAATATCCATATATCAAGTTAAATTTACTTTAACAGATTTGGATTTCCAGTCTTGACTTGTTTTTTCTTTTTTTAAGAATTTGTAAAAATTGTAAATCTACAAGGAAAACTAAAGTCAAGTAAGAAACTGGCCTCTGAGCTAACTTTTGATTTTTGCATTGAGTCTGTAGGTAAGTCTTTTTTTTTTTTTTTTTTTTTTTTTCTTCAATCTATTAGAATACTTGGTTTTCCCTTCATTCTGTATCTGTGGTTGTCTAGACCAGCAGTGTCTTAGACGTGTCTGTGATATGGAAGTGTTTCCTGTGCTCTTAACTATAGTAGTCATTAACCACACCTCTTAAGTACTTGAAACTGGGTTAGTGCTACATTTTTTTAATTTTAATTGATTTACATTTTAAAGTAAATAGCTACATATGGCTAGTTGCTATTGTATTAGACAAAGCAAGTGTAGACAATAATAAATCTTTTATTGTTGGTTCCTAAATATTTAAAACTTGAAATCATTTTAAAATTTCTGTTTATTGTTCCCTTTATTGCCTCAAGTGAATCATACTTCTCCCAATTATTTCCAAATCATGAAGGTATTTGTGTGATATGATTAATGATATTAGATATGCTATAATTCTTTGTGTCTGATTCTGCTTGGTGTGTGTTGATGGTTATTCCTTTTAAGTCTATTTCTATATAAATAGATACTTTCCCACTTAGAAACTAATGTGCCATTTTAATTTGTTTTATTGTCAGTGAGTGTTTTACTCTATCATACTCATTGGTTTTATGATAAATATTTCTCATTGATTATATGTCAGTAAGTATTTCCCCCTAGGGATGATAGAACTTTTAAAAAAAATAATGTGGCTGGAAACACTGAACTTAGTATGATGTGACTCTACCATAAGTCAAAAATGCTTAAAACAAAGTTGGAAATTTTTATTTTGGCCTTGAAAAACATGTATTTTGTAGTTAAATGTATAAATACCTTAAAAAATATATTTCTCATTATTTAAAAAGGTGTTTAAAAAAAATAGTTTAATGGTTTCCCAACTGGCGTTTTGTCCTGTTACAAAGTATAATCATCCCTCTGTGTAAATATCTTACATAAACATAATTTGCTTATGATTGAAAAATCTTAATTTATTGAAGCAGAAAGCCTAAACTTTCTGTAGATGCCAGGACAAAAGGAATGTTGGAGCTCATTTCTTCCTCACTTCTTTAAGTCCTGGATGTTGCATGCCAGTTTCTAAGCTTTGATATCTTCAATAGAAATCCTGACGGAGATCTTTATAGTTCTTCATTTCAACTGAAACACACTGATACCTCAACTTTTTCATATGTATCAAACTTTTTAGGGAACTTTAATTGTTACACAAAAATGTGTTCCTCATAAGCTACCATCTCTCCCCAGCAGTGAATCTTGGAATAATTACAAGGATCTTCCTGGGTAAAAAGAGTCCCTTTAAATCTTTTAAAAAATAAACTGGTAGCCAAAACCGGTTTGGCTCAGTGGTAGAGCGTCGCCCTGTGGACTGAAAGGTCCCAGGTTCGATTCCGGTCAAGGGCATGTACCTTGGTTGCGGGCACACCCCCAGTAGGGGGTGTGCAAAAGGCAGCTGATTGATGACTCTCTCTTATCGATGTTTTTAACTCTCTATCCCTCTCTCTTCCTCTCTGTAAAAAAAATCAATAAAATATATTTTTAAATAAATAAATAAAATAAACTGGTAACTGGGTTTCATATTCATAACAGTTAGTGAAACGTGTGATTTTTTAGTAAAATTGTTTTATCTTTATTAAAATTATGTTTCCAAGACATTCTTACATTAGCTTTTTATAGAGTTAGTATTCTAATAAAACATACAGTAAGTTTCTATCACTGTCTCCCATCACCTTTACTAGTGTAGGGCATATGTCTAATTTTCCAACAATCTGATACAACTTAGGTTTCTTTGAAAGTTATACCAATGTCTGATCACTATGTTATACAACTGAAACTAATAATATTGTCTGTCAGCTGTAATTGAAAAAAAAAAACCTTTTTAAAAAATAAGTTAGCTCATGTTTAAATGAATGCCTATTTTATATATTTGTGTGTGTGTATATATTTTTTTTAACTTGTATTACCCGACTCAATAAATTATTTGAGTTTAGACATGGCTTAGCCACAAAAATGTTGGGAACGAGTGGTCTAGACAGTGGAATTTTGCACCAAGCATTTGGATAGCCTTACATTATCGTTTATTAAAAACAGTTAAGGAAAATGTATAATGAACTACTTGTGCTGTATTTCAGTTTCACCTCCCCCTAATCTTTTTTAGTGTGCCTTCAAGACAGTGTATTGGCTTTCTGGAAACATGGAATGCAGGGGAAAAGCTTCAAATCAGATGAGGTAAGGTTTCTCAGATTACCTCCAGTGGTTTCCACTAAAGATTTTTAATATTGAAGTGTTCATTTTATACATTTTCTTTCTGAACCTACATTACTATGTTTAGTGCCTTTATTGTTTTTAAGTTGACTTGAGAGAGATAGGAATGGAGAGGGAGAAAGAGAAACATCAAAGTGAGAGAGAAGTACCAATCAGCTACCTCCTGCATACTCACTACTGGGGATCGAACCTGCAACCCAGGCATGTGCCCTGACTGAGAATTGAACTGGCACCCTTTTGGTGCATGGTACAATGCTCAACCAACGGAACCATACCAGCCAGGGGTATGTCTAGTGGTTTTAATACTGTGAACTGGCAGAGCAAAATTGCCAGTATTATTCTCCAGTTCAGTTTTGTATTGTAAAATTCTCAGTGGCCACATTTCAGCCCTTTAATTTGTAATTTTTAAATATGGTTACTAGCATTGTAGTAGTTTTCTAAATTTAGTAAGCCTTTTCCATAATCTAGAAGTGAATAGCTTCTTTTTTAATATTTTATTTAAAATTCTAAATTGATATGTATTAGATCCCAGGACTAAGGAAAATATAAGAACATTAACTCATTTAGAAAATAGTTTTTGATACCAGCTACATGCAGAACACTATTACTATAGCATTGTAAGGCATAGGGAAGTGTAATTATAAATAATTTCAAACTCTGCTAGAATCTGTGTTCCTGCATTGACAAATATTATCCACTTAATGCTCATAATCCAGTGGGGTTAGGTACTATTCATATTCCCATTTTTACAGGCACAGAGGGGTTAAGTAACTTGTCTAGATTACATAGCCTGGATTTGAAGGATCTCCAAAAGTAATAGTTAAGACAATACTAGCAGAGACATTTCCCATTTGTGTGAGTACCTGTATAATTCTTGTATACCATGGTCTCACAAATACCAGTATGTGGGCTTATTTTAAACCTTAAAGTCTTTTTCTTGAATTGCCTATAATTGAGTATTTTCACCACTTATATGAGTGAGGAATTAGAATACTTCTAAGAGAAAATGACATAAATTCGCTATCTTTGAACATGTCAGTTTATCAGTTCAGTGGTTGGCAAACTGACGCTCTGTTGACTAATGAGTTTGCCAACCACTGCTAGACTAACTGTTACCATGTAGTTGGAAGCTGTGAGAAGTAGGCAATTGTGGCATATTGTGTGCAAAGAGGTAAAGGGTAGTATATGACAGTGGTCGGCAATCTCATTAGTCAACAGAGCAGCAAACCTCGGCTCTCGAGCCCCAGTTTGCCGACCGCTGATCTAGTTACTGCCCATGTCACTAATCACTGGTCCCTGCCTCTAACTGAGCCAATAGCTTTGCCTACTGCCATCAGATTAATTGTCCTCAGATGCTGATCTCATTGTACCATTCCTTCAGTTAGCAATCTATGGAAGATACCTGTTGTTCACCACATCAAGTGCAAATTTTATTTCCCTTTTAACTCATCTTGATTACCTCTTTCTTTCTGCTTATGTTCTCACACTTGAATTTGGGCTTTGCTGTAAAATTAATAAAATAATATTCATCCATTCCAGTCCACAATGATTGGAACATTTTTAAACTTAATATATGAAAATTAGCTCCACCTAGTAAATCTTCTAATTTGTTTCCTTATTTAAGTTTATTAATTCTATCTCCTAGCTCTCTACAAATTCATTGATAACACACTATTTTTATAGTTATTTTATATCCATACTCTTGTAGTTTGGGTTCCTCCAAAAGCTGACCTTAACACATTGCAGACCAGTAGTTTTATTGCTAGCTTTACCCAGTGGCCAGATAAGTTTCTATTGAAAGAGTACAAAAAACGTTTTACATAAATGTTAAAGGCACGCTTTAAAATTAAATACACATTGCATTCTGAAGTTATTTATTATATGTTCTTAAAGCTGATATATTTTTAAAGTATGATACTTTGTAAAACACTGTGTAATAAGAAGCGAGAATTCTGTGATCCGTCTGCAATGTTAAGACAAGGACTCAAGTGTAGGTAGTTTATTTAGGAGTAGATACCAGAAAACAAGTGATGGAGTGAGGAGTGTAAAACAGAGGGGCAAAAAGCCAATACAGAGCACAGTAATAAATGGTTCCACTATGGGCAACCAGGGCTTAATCCCATACCGCCCACTGAGGACAGTGTAGAATATTCCTCAGAATTGACTCAGTTGAAGGTGCATTTATACACCATCTGCTGTCCCTTTTGGCTAAGGTTTTCCCTGGGAGTGTAAGCTCCCCACATTTTGGTATAGTACCTGTGCTTGACTGAGTGCCTTCTACAGCTTTGGAGAAGACAGAGCAGAGACCACCGGGTACGCTGGTGTCAGACCTGGCACATGGCGTGTTTACCGCAGCTCTGCTGGAATCTGCACTCTGACACCAGGCAAGAGCAGGAACTCTGCCATCGCAAACCGGGGTCTGCCAGTTCTATAACCTTAAGCAAGTTACTTAACCTCTGCACATCTTCGTGTTTTTTCCTATCTAGTAATGCGGGGATTATAATACAAAGTGCCTGACCCATAACAGATGTTTTCATAAATGTTTTATTTCTACTAATAGATGGTCAAAAGGTAATTCCTAAAATTTATTTCATTTGAGGAAGTGAGTCTATCAGAAACTATAATTGTTTAATACTTGCTCTATCTAAATGATTTTTAAATTATTTAAGTAATATGGGGATAAAGTATTACTAATAGGTATTTTCTCTCATAGGTTACCCAAGAGATTTCAGATGAAACAAGAGTTTTCCGCTTACTAGGATCAGACAGGTAAAGAGTGTGGTTGTTTTAATTACCAAAGGAGTTTGGGGATTGTGTTCTTAAATACTGTCAGATAACTCTTAGAAGATTTTTCAGCATCTTTATTGATAGAGAGAATAGTATTTTAATCAATTGATTAATCAACCTTTTATCATAGAGATAGTTATACACAGCCAAGACAAAATGTGTTAATATAGGTGTTTATGTATCTAGTACCAGGACATATTTCATTTCAGGCTCCTTTGTTTTCATCATTTCTTTCTAGCTTTTTACCTTCTACTAATTATTATTATATAAATCCAACAGAATATGTACCCCCCTGGCATCTGCTTTTATATCAGAACCTATTCAACTCATTTTCTGAGGTCAGTCTAAATTAGGAGGAATTATGTGGATCTCTGTGATAAAAATTAAAGACAAATTCCAAAACTGTGCCATCTTAGAAAAATTTTAGTAGTTTTTGTTCCCCAAAGTCTATGTTGTCTACCTCAACAACTAATAAAACACCCGTTCCTACATCAACCAAAGAACTTGTATGCATATATACATAACCCATGGACACAGACAACAGGGTGCTGAAGGTCTGGGGGACAGGATGGGGGCTAGCTAGAAGGGGTCAATGGGGGGGAAGGGGACATAGGTAAGTAATACTTACAACAAGAAAGACTCAATTTAAAAATAAACACTCCTTTCTATTTTCTCAACAACAATTGTTACTGCAGCAAAATTGACTAATAGTATGCATTAGTCCTAAGTTGAGGATTGAGAACCTCAGGTCTTCAAGTTCAGTCTAGTCACAAAATAATTGCTTAAATATTACACACTTAAGGAAAGGGGGGATGGAGTTGTGACCCTATAAAAATTTTTAGGAGACTTTTTTAAGGAGAAAAAAATATTTTTTTGAAAAATGGTAACTAATGAGTAGAAAAGGTAAGCCCATAGAGTAGGGGTGTCGAACTCAATCAGAGAAGGGGCCAAAATCTAAAATCCAGCCTAAATCGCAGGCCGAATGGTTTACTGAACAGTCATAAACTGTCATTGTGATGGAAACGCAGCGGAGTGCAGTGATGACAGCGCGATGCGGGCCACATTGCAAGGCCTGGCGGGACGGATTTGGCCCGCGGGCCTTGTGTTTGACACATGTGCCATAGAGCATAGCAACTTAGTAATTAGTTCTGGTGGGGGGGGGGGGGGGGGAAGAATTTGAGGAGCACCTGGTTAAAGACACTAAAATGGGAGGCTCTTTGCTTCTCCAGGAAGGCTGACAAAAGAATTGTGGGTCATCCAATAATCCTGGCATAAATGGCACCTAAACAAGACAGTCAGAAAAAATTCTGCTTAAGCCATTTCTCTTAGTTATGTATTTCCTTCCACCTCCCCCACCCCTGAACCTTCTCCTTCAACTATTCCCTTTGACTTTCTCCATTCTGTCACAATTTTCCCTAAAAAAAACTTTTTTCTTCAGATCATTGCCTTATTCTCTTTATCTTACTTGAGCATCTCTTTGATTTCATGATTTATTTTTTTTATTTTATGTAAAAATATTAATAATGGTTAACTAGGTAATTGGGTTATAGGTAATTTTATTTTCTGCTTCTACTTTTCTGCAATACATAATGCAAAGTACATATTACTTTTTATTGTTTTATTACAAAAGTAGTACTATACTAGTTGTAGAAAACTCATACACTAGAAAAATTCCCCCTCCAAGACTTTTTTCTGTTCATGGGTACATTATTTTTTATTCTCTTTTCAAACCCCTCAACAATAGTGTAAATCCTATGGTATGGCACTTTATTGAATTTTCTTCCTATTGGTCCTTTTCTGAACTCTTTCCTTAACCTTGTTCCATGGACAAAGGAGTTAGGCCACACTTTATACTTTTTTAAAAAAAAATTTTTTTAAATACCTTGAACAGTTTGAATAGGTGTCTCATAGAAATCATGTTTTATCCTCAGCTCTTCTTCCACCCCCTTCTTCTTAGCGTATTTTCTAAAACTATTTATTTATAACTTTCATTGGCATATGAGTAAGCCAATTTGGTGTAGTTGGAATAAGAGAATGAGACTTTCCTAAAAGGTTTTCAATACTTTTTATACATAAATTCATCAATTCTTACTCAGTTTTGTTTTTAAATTATAAAATGTAAAGCTGAACTTAACTGTGCTATGTCTGTGATCTTTATGCAATCTTATGAGAATGTAAACAATGGTATTCTTTCCGGGTTTGATGTTAGTATTGGAAGCTGCAATCTCTGTCTTTACTCTTACACAAAACTTTTGTTTTGGTTTAATTGCAGGGTTGTCGTTTTGGAAAGTAGGCCAACAGAAAACCCTACTGCACACAGCAATCTTTACATCTTGGCTGGACATGAAAATAGTTACTAAGCAACAGAAACTGATCCCAAATGACAGGAAAATGAATATATTCCGTTAAAAGCAAAAATATCTTAAGGGAATTCAGTACAAACTACACTATGATTTGCTTTAACTGTTATGGGTTATATCTCAAATGATCTGTACTTTAAGGTAGAATTCAATATTTTCTGTAGCTGGAAACAGCTGTTTTATCTCTTGCCACTGTGTGGTGGTTATATCAAGTTTGCTTAATAAAAGCTATGAGATAAATAGTCCTATAGTTCCAGGAAGCCCAGTCTTTTTTAAAAAAATGTTTGTAACAGGGGTGTCATATTTTTAGATAACAACTTGTGCTTATCTTCAAGGAGATAAATTTAATGACAGTTTTCTCATTTTATATCATGTTTTATTCCTTCTTAATGAACATAATTTTATAAAGAAATTATCAAATAAGCCTTTCACTTTTACATTGGCTATTCTGTATGTTTTTGTAAAATAGAATATTTAATCCTTATTTATTAATCTCTTGCTGGAGTGGTGTAATGTTATCTAACTTTTAGCAAAGGAGGGTTGCAGAGCAGCTTACATTTTTTTATGATGTATAAAAATTTTGTTTACCTTTTAAGAGTAGTAAGAGGGTTTAAAGCAGTGTGTTTGGAGGTTCAATACATACATGCAATTTTGTTTAACACAAGTATTTTATAAAACAATATTATCCAGAATTGCCTTAAAGTGAATTTTGTGTTTTCAACTACAAATAGCTGTAAGGGGTCATACAGAAGATACTGATGATGGTTGAAATATTATTAGAAGAGGTATGTATGTAGATACGACAACCATGTGTATGTATTCTTGACAAGCAGTATAATATATCTGTGATTTTTTTTTTTACAGTAGGGATAATGCATAAAAATTAACCATATATATTATCCCTTGATGTGTGTGTTGGGGGGGGGAGTATTTAACTGCCCATGATATGTAATTCACATATACTATACCAGAGGGGACACTGTAAAGCAACTACATGTGTAATGTTGGGTCTTTCACATATGTAGGTGTTCATTTTGAGTAGGTTTAAGAAAAAAGTTTTACGTGAAATTGAATTCCTCATGGGATAGTATAAATAAGCATTATAAAAACCAATATTCTAAAAATAGGAAATAATGCCATTTTTTAGTTTACATCTCTTTTGCTATTGTTAGTGTCACCTTGGTACCTGGTGTTTTCATGCATTCACTGAAGGCAGTTAACATTGAGATGATGAACAAGGAGTTAGCAATAGCAAACTACTGATTTATTTTGAGCAATTAATTACTTGAGAGAAAAACAGTATAACTATCTCATTTGGCCGTTAGCAATTTTGTAAAATATGTATTATCATCTCTGTTTTTAAATGGGGAAATAAGAAGTTAGCAGGTTAACAGACCCAGTTCACACAGCCAGTTAGGGGTTGAGCCAGACCATGAGTCTTGTGACTCTGTTCTTTTCATTATGCAGTATGCAAACAATAAAATGTTATGCAAATAAAGTATTTAAAAATGCACGTATGATTTCAGTAAGTGTGTGGCTGTTTATTTGGGGTATGTTCATGGGGATCCTGGACTGAAGAACACTGGATGGATATAATAGATGGGAGGGGACCATACTCAAAACAGGAAATATTTGCATACTGAATACCAGTATCCTCCTCCTCTCACTGAATCCTGGCAGCCTCATCTTCCCATCCCACAATATTGGAAGAATCTTCTCTGTGCTATCTGGCCAGTGCAAGAGGAAAGAACTACATCAGGTGTCCTAGCTAAACTACCCAGCTGGATAACCCCACAATGATCATCACAGTGACAAGATCTGCTATGTTTCCAAAGAAAAAGGGCAGGTCAAATACCAAGGAACAAGAAACAGCAGCTTCAAATTTCAACAGAAGCAGTGCCTTCAGTATTCTGGATTCAAATAAACTATTAAACCTAAGAGTAAAATGAAAACATTTTTAGCTGAACAAGGTCTTGAAACCTTTACTTTCCACAGAATCTTTCCCAAATAGGCTCCTTAACTATCAAAGAATGCCCTTAGACAGCTGAAAGAGGAAGAAAGAAATCTGAGCTTATATTAAACTAAAATCAATGGGGAAAATATCCTCCAGTGAGGATTAACAGCAAAAAAGATTCAGCCCAGCTGGTGTGGGTCAGTGATTAAGCACAGACCTACCCACCAAGAGGTTTCCTATTCAGTTCCCAGTCGGCACATGCCCACATTGCATGCAGACGAACCCCAGTTGGGGGCCGTGCAGAAGGCAGCCCATCAATATTTGTATGTCTGTTCCTCTTTCTAAAAATCAATAAAAACATAATTTTTAAAAAGATTCAGTGTGATCTCAGCAGACATTGTATGGAAATCGATAAGCTGATTCTCAAATTATATAAAATTAGAGACCTGGTGCATGAAAATTAATGCACTGGAGGGGGCTCCCTCTGCTGGGCCCCCCCTCTCACAGTCTGGGAGCCCTCAGGTGGGAGATAACCCAGTGATCAGGGGAAAGTGACGTCCCGCATCACATCTCTGCTGCTGCCACTGCCGGCAGCACAAGCCTCAGCCAGCCCTGGGGGGCTGAGGGGCCTGGGGGACTCAGGAGGCAGGCAAGTGGGGCAGCCAGACCTGCCTAGGGTGGGCCTGTCCATGCCACATGCCTGCTATTACTGGCCCTGAACATACCATCTAATAAAGAGGGAATATGCTAATTGACCATCACACCCTCACAAAAATGGAGGTGCCATATAAAAAAGTTATATTAATGAGGGATGAGGACATTTTATGTTGTCTGGGCCCACATATAAAGTCAAGAGGAAAGGTTCTTATTTTATTTAAATTAACTCTCCAGTATTTACTTTGATTCACCGGGCTTTACTATCCCCAGATAAGTAGTGTTGTGGGGTAGGAGGGAGTTACTTACATGCCTGGTTTTGTAGTGTGTAGCAGTGCCTGGTCAGGAGGACCTTGGCTGGCACCTGCCTCCTCTTTAGGTTGCTGTGTATCAGGAGGTCGGCTCTCATCATCAGCTCCCTGGAGCATCTGAAGACAGAGGTCCTTTTTTAAGGTGTTCTTCGTTGTCACAACTCCATCCGCCACTGGCGGGTGGGCTTGGGCCTGGTGGAGCTGGGTCTGAAGCCTGTCTTCAGCCCTGGGTGGCCGGGTGGCCTTGTCACAGCCTCTCACAGCCTCAGCTGCTGCTTTTATAAAACGGGGCACTTCATCATCCCAACCAGGAAGTCAACCCAACCATGTACGATGGTTATAATGATTAGAGATAATGTGGTCAATGACCCCAACTCGTAAGTGCCCCTAAGTGGTAGTTATTAACTATTTTCTGGATGTGCCCTGGAAACTATTAACTTTCCAAATCCTCTTTAAACAGGGAAAGTAAACTCATTTCCTGAAGCAGCTTTTTAGTGTCACTTTAAAATCACAGTGACTCGACTTTCCTTTCCTTACAGGAAACATAATTGGGGGGTGGAGGGAGAGAGACGTTAAGCTTGGCTGCTGGGCTCACACTCGAATGAGGCGGCGGCATTCTCCTGCCTCCTGGGGACTGTGCTCTCGTGTCAGGGCTGCACACAGATGCAGCTGCTGAGTTCCTGTGAGAAGGAAGCATGGTGACAAGGCCCATCCTCCCTGCAGCTTAGGAGGAGGGTCCTCTGTGGAGCGTTGTAAGTGTTTTAGGCCAGTTCCCTATGTCCTGTGCAGTAACACTCAGACACCCTGACAGCCACCCTCTGTGTGTGACAGAATTTACCAGGCGACCGGAAAATACACAGGAGTACCCGGAGATACAGGAAACATTTATTTCCAGATGTTCTAGTACCGTGACTCAGGGGAGCCTGTTTCCAGATCCTGAGCAAGCCAATATGGAAGACGCGTCCTCTTTATACCCTTTGGTTTCTTTGTCCCCCAAATAAGGATCAGGCTTCCGGACCTTTCTCAGGCTTTGCAAAAAGTTCAGGGTGTTGGGATGGGGGATGTAAGACCACACTTAAGACCTGGCTGGTGGTTGTGTATTGCTCATGGTTTATGGCCTCTGTAAAATGTGAGTATTTAGGTAAATAGGTGTTGCAAGACCAGATAATTAAGGAAGGGGCAGTGACTAAACTATAGGCTAACAGGAATGTGCATTAGCGATACTTATTAACTAGGTACAGAGTCAGGCTGCTAGTCCTTCCCTCCCCCCCCCCCCCCCAAAAAAAAAAAAAAAGTCTTATTTTCCTCATGATGTGTTTGGTAGTGTTAGCAAAACGGTTAGGAGCAAAGCTTCTGGAGTCAGACTGCCTGCGTCCGGTCGCCGGCTTTGTGTCCTTACTTATCCATCCTAAACTCATGCTCCTCCTCAGCGTAACACTGACTCCTCTCCTAGGGCTGTGGTGAGGCTCGAGTATAAAATATTCTTAGCATAATGCCTGCCACGAATAAGCACTAATTAAATAGTCATTGTGTTGGCTGTTGTGTGGGCAGTAGTAATTATCTTGCACAACATCAAACACCAGTAAGAAGGCAGAAATCCTGGTCTCTGATTCCCAATCCCAGGCTCTTTCTCTGAGCATGCATTCATCTACTGAATGATTATTGCTTCCTTAAATGATTAAAATATCACAGTGCTGTCTGTTATCCAGGGACACCGAAGTATTCTCTCTGATTATGGAGAGCTACAAAAAAAAAAAAAAAAGGAATCACTGTAAGTGGAAAATAATGTTTCAGTTCTTTTACATTTGCTTGAGAAAAGAAGCCCACCTTCTTCGGCTTCCCAAGAATTATACTGCACGGGAATTATAATTCTTTGATTTCGAAACCCATTTCAGTCCTGCAAACTAAAAGGACTGCTGAGACTGACGGTATAGAGGCCGTAGTATCCTCTCTGGCGCTAAATGGTGACATCAACTGTCTCCCTTTCAAAGTTGTTCTCTTACAGTTTAATCCAACTTTCTCCAAACATAACAACTGGTGCGGCTGCAAGGCACGCTGGCTCTCCGGTTCACTGCCTGCCTGGGCGTAAATAACGGGTGCACTTGCTCCCTCCTTTAACCAGCACTGGGTTGGCACAGGCCCAGGATCCTTGGGCACCGAACCATAAAGTTAATTTTCCAGACTCACTTTGGCCTCGTGTGAACCTTAGATGAGGTGGCTCTGGAAAAGTTCGCAGTGACTTTCCTACCTCATCTTAAAACATATTCTTTTAATTGTCAAAAAGAAACATTCCCCAACATATACCATATTCTGGGGCATGAAGCAAACTTCAACAGATTTCAAAGAATTTAAATCATACAAAGGAATTGCTCTGGAAACAATAGAATTAAACTAGAAATCACTAACAAAAAAGTATTTGGAAAATCCCCAAATAGTTAGAAATTAAACAACACATTTCAAAATGACCTACAGGTCAAATAGGAAGTCTCAAGGGAAATTGGAAAATGTTTTAGCCCTGGCTGGGTAGGGTAGCTCAGTTAGTTAGAGCATTGTCTCAGTATGCCAAGGCTGGGGATTTGATTCCCCGTCAGAGCACATACAAGAAATCAACCAATGAATGCATAAATAAATGGAACCACAAATCAGTGTTTCTCTCTCTGTCTCTGAAATCAATAAATTAAAAAATAATAGAACTGTTTGAGGTGAATGAAAATGTAAATGCAATATCAATATTTTGGGGATTCATTTACAGTGGTGCTTAGAGGAAATTTTGTGGCATTAAAGGCTTAAATTAGAAAAGAAGATCTAAAATTAATAGCATAAGCTTCCATCTTTAAAAAGAAATAGGAAAAACAGGTAAAAGCAAAGCAAGCAGAAGAAAGAAAATATTAAAGAGATAAAATCAACAAAATTAAAAAACGGAAAAAACATAGATGAAATCAAATCTAAAGTTGTTTCTTTAAAAGGTCAGTAAAATTGATAAGTCTTAGTCAAACTGATCAGGAAAAAGAAGGGGGAAATTGCTAATATCAAGAATGACATAGGAAACATTACTATAGACATTAAGAAGATAATAATGTAATACTATTACATGTAAATAACATTAAAAAGATAATAATGTATAATTGTTATATATAAACAACTTTGTGCTCATAAATTCAAATATATAGATAAAATAGGCAAATTCCTAAGACACAAGCTATCAAAGCTCATTCAAGAAGAACCAGATATACTGAATAGTTCTATATTTTATTAAAGAAACAGAATTTGTAATTTAAAATAATTCAACAATGAAAACTCCAGGCTCAGGTTGCTTTTCTGGCAAATTCTACCAAATATTTAAGGAATAAATAATACCAATTTAATGTAAATGTCTCCAGAAAATATTAAAGAGAAAAACACTTTCTAACTCATTTTATGAGATCAGCATTACTCTGATACCAAAACTAGACAAAGACATTATAAGAAAACTATGGATCAATATATCTTAGTAACATTAACACAAAAATCCTCAATAAAGTATTACTAATCAACTCCAGCAATGTATCAAAATAATAGAATATCATAACTAAGTTGGTTTTATCCCAGAATGGAAGGTTAATTCAACATTTAAAAATCAATAGATAGCCAAAACTGGTTTGGCTCAGTGGATAGAGCATCAGCCTGTGGACTGAAAGGTCCCAGGTTTGATTCCGATCAAGGGCATGTACCTTGGTTGCGGGCACATCCCCAGTAGGTGGTGTGCAAGAGGCAGCTGATAATGATTCTCTCATCGATGTTTCTAACTCTCTATCCCTCTCCTTCCTCTCTGTAAAAAAATCAATAAAGTATATATTTTTTAAAAATCAATAAATACTACTGCAATATTTATGAAAAATATTTTGTTAATTAAATAAACCTTTTTCAAACAAACAAACAAACAATAAATATATTAGTGAGATCATGGCAGGAGTGGGGAGGGGTCAATAGTAGGAAAAAGGGATATTTGTAATAACTTGAACAATAAAGTTTTAAAAAATCAATCAAAACAGCCCATCCAGTGTAGCTCAGTGGTTAAGTGTTGACCCATGAACCAGATCATCATGGTTTGATTCCTCAACAGGGCATATGCCTGGGTTGCAGGCTTGACCCCAGGAGGGGGTGTGCAGAATGCAGCCAGTCAATGATTCTCTCTCTTCATTGATGTTTCTATCCCTGTCTCTATCTCCATTCCTCTCTCTGAAAACAATAAAAACATATTTTAAAATATATACATATAAATCAATCAATATAATTCACTATATCAACAGACTAAGGAAAATCATCCTTCTATATAATAAGAGGTAATATGCAATAACCCTCACACCCTCACAAGATGGGTGCCTATGAACAAGCCGACCAGGGGGTTAGTGAGGGACAACTAAATGACTGAATAAGCAGGCTGTGTGGGGCGACCAGGCCAGCAGGGGGGGCGGTAATGAGGAATGACCAGCAGCAGGGGGCAGTTGGGGACAACCAGGCCAGCAGGGGGGAAAAGTTTGGGTGATTAGGCTGGCAGGGGGGGCAGTGAAGGGCAACTAGGCTGGTGAGGGGGCAGTTGGGACAACCAGGCTGGCACAGGGGGCAATAAGGGGTGACCAGGCTGGTGGGGGGGGGGCAGTTAGGAATGACCAGGCTCGAAGGGAGGGGGAAGTTGGGGACAACCAGGCAGGCAGGTGAGTATTAACAGCCAGCAGTTCAAGATTGTGAGAGGGATGTCCGACTACTGGTTTAGGCCTGATCCCCAGCATTTGGACATTTGGACATACCTCAAGGGGTCCTGGATTAGAGAAGGTGCAGGCTGAGCTGAGGGCCCACCCCCCTTGCATACACAAATTTCATCCACTGGGCCTCTAGTCCTATATAATAAAAGGCTAATATGCAAATTGTTCCCTCTACTGGGAATTCAACCAGGATTTGGACCAGGGGGAGGGGCCAGCCGGGGAGAAGGTCTGTGGGCAGTTGGCTTCCAGCCCTACCCCCAATTGGCCAGCCAACCACCCACAACCCCTTCCCCGAGCCAGCCTGGCCCGATTGGCCCCAATCTGGGTAGGCCAGCCAGACCCCACCAGTGCACAAATCCATGCACCAGGCCTCTAGTATAATATAAAGAAAAAAAAATCATACAATCATCTCAATAGATGTAGAAACGCATTTGATAAAACTCAACATCAATTCATTATTTAAAAAACAAAAACAAAAACAAAAAAAAACCTTTTAGCAAATTGGAATTAAAGAGAAGTTCCCCAATCTAATAAAGGGCCTCTGGATTAGTTCTATTTGCTGCATAACAAATACCCCCAAAGCATAAATATCAAACATTTATTCTCTCACCGTTTCTGGAGGTGCCTCTGGCTCCAGGCCTCCCACGAGACTGAACTTACGTTTGTCAGCGGGGCGAAGTCTGTCTGAAATCTCATTGGAAGGTGGTTTGGGGCAGGGGGGAGATCTGCTTCCACGCTCACTCACAGGGTTGTTGGTAAAGCTCATTTCCTCACAGAATATCAGCCTCGTTCTTCTTGGCTGTTGGCTCCCTCAGTTCCTTGCCATAAGGCAGCTCGCCACATGGCCTCTGTTCCCTCAGAGCAAGTAAATGAGAGCCCAAGGGAATACCGGGGGGGAATGCATAGTCTCTTCCTAACCTAACCCCAGAGTGATGTCACTGCTTTTCACACATTCCGTTCCTTAGAAGCAAGTCACTAGGTCAAGTCTATACTGAAAGGAAGAGGAGCAGCAAGGGCATGAATACCAGGAAGCAGGGTCACTGAGGGCCACCTCAGGCTCCTGCCACAGCATCGACAAAGAACTCCAGCATCGTACCTAGTGGTGCAAGACTGAATGCTTTCCTCCTCAGATGGGTATAAGGACATCTGCCCTCACTACTCCTGGTTGAGTTCACACCGGAGGACCCACCAAGTGCAATAAGAAGGAGAGGGAGAGAGAGAGAGAGAGAGAGGGAGAGAGAGAGAGAGAGAGAGAGAGAGAGAGGGAGAGGGAGAGAGAGAGAGAGAGAGAGAGAGAGAGAGAGAGAGAGAGAGAGAGAGAGAGAGAGAACGCATAGCAGTTAGGAAGAACCAAAATAGTCCCTATTTGCAAGTGACATGATTGTCCACATAGAAAATCCCAAGGAATTTACTAAAACTTCCAGGTGACAAATACGCATATGAAAGACTGTTCAACATTAGTCATTAGAGAATTCCAAGTTCTAGGCACAACAGACCATTGCCCACGTGTTAAAATGGTTGGAATAAAGAGACCTGGCATGCTAAGTGCTGGCAAAGATGCAGAGGCACTGGCAGGAATGTAAAGGTGCTGTCTCTTTGGAAAACATTTTGGCAGTTACTTCAATAACATATACTTATCATATGACCCAGGTGCTGGCAGGAATGTAAAATGGCGCAGTCTCTTTGGAAAACATTTTGGCAGTTACTTCAATAACATATACTTATCATATGACCCAGCAGTACTCCTCCTAAGTATTATTTTCCCAAGAGAAATGAAAACATATGTTCCCACAAAAGACCATGTGTGAGTGTTTACGGTGGCTTGGCTGATGATCCCCCAAACTGGAAACAACTGAAATGTTCTTACGTGGGGATGGATGAACAAGCTATGGTACACCCACACAATGGAATACTTAATCAGTGATAAACAGGAATAAACTGATAAATGGAACAAAATGGGTGAATCTCAAATTATTTACGTTAGGTGAAAGAAGCCTAGCTCAAAAAGGCTACATATTGTATAACTCCATTGACATGACACTCAGGGGAAGGCAAAACTGTAGACAGAAAACACAGCAGTGGTTACCGTTCGAAAACAATTCCTGGGAGGTTCACAGATGAACTCTGTCCGCCCCTGGACCATCTAGAATCTAGATGTAAATATCTGTGTTTTCTGATGGTCTTAGGCGACCCTGCGAGGGGTTCTCAACCTGTGGGGACCCGCTGCTGTAGAGCCCAAGACCATCGGAAAACACTGATATTTACATTACGATTCATTAACAGTAGCAAAATTACAGTTCTGAAGTAGCAACGAAAATAATCTTATGGTTGGGAGTCACCACAACATGAGGAACTGTGTTAAAGGGTCGTGGCATTAGAAGATTAAGAACCACTGGTCTAGATGCTACTGCGTTGTCAAGGCAGCCACCAACCCCTCTCTCCTCCCAGCTCCTGCTCCTACCCGACCCCTGTCCTGATTTCCACGTAGTGGCATGCTGCTTGGCGGGGGACTAGCCTCTGTACTGTAGACAGTATGTTCATTCTCTCTCCTCGGCTTTACCTCCAGGGCAATGATCGAGTATTGAGGCAGTGTGCCAGTGGCAGATTATTTCATGACTTCCCCAGGTTTACTGTTTCTCCCCTCTGTGCGTAAACCGGAGCAGCAGGAGCCCCTGGGGAATAAGGAACCTAAAACAGGCAGGCTCTGTAACTCCAGCTCCCAATCAGGAGCCTGGCTGGAAGTCAACAGCCAAGGAGCACCCTCCCCTCCAAGCCAATGGAGTGAAGTGCCCACTTCCACCAATTTCGGCCACACCTCCCTCTTCATCTTTGCCTTTCTCTCCCTGTTTCTCATTCATTCATTCATTCATTCATTCATTCATTCATTCATTCAATGACTGGATGCTATGCCACTGATCAGAACCGGCACAGAAGCTCCCCTCAAGGCGTTCACAGTTTAGCAGAAAACACTGGGGAGTAAGTAATCAGCCGTTACTCGGCGTGGTGACCGCTGTGCCCTTGGTGCATGAAGAGGGGCAGGGGAGTGGGGATGGGGGTGGGGATGGGGGTGAGGATGGGGGTGGGGATGGGGATGAGGATGGGGATGGGGATGGGGGTGGGGATGGGGGTGAGGATGGGGGTGGGGATGGGGATGAGGATGGGGGTGGGGATGGGGATGGGGATGGGCGGGGGGGGGGGGGGGGGGAAATCTGGCGCAGGCGTCTTCCCGCAGCCTCCTGTCCGCAGAGGGACGAGGTGCAGGCCCAGGCCCGCGGTGGGGACCGCTCCTCAGGGGCCCGAGGACCTCCCACCCGGCCCTTCTCCGCCGCACGGACCGGGCGGCCCAGCCCAGGCCAGCGGGGGCGGGACCGTTCCCATAGGGATCCCGGGCGGCGGGGCGGCGGGGCCGGCTGGTGGGAGCGGGCCCGGCCGGCGGCCGCAGCGCGTGAGTGCGGGGCGGGCAGGGGGAGCGGGCCGGGCAGGGGGAGCGGGCCGGGCAGGGGGAGCGGGCCGGGCTGGGGGAGCGGGGCGGGCAGGGGGAGCGGGCCGGGCAGGGGGAGCGGGGCGGGCAGGGGGAGCGGGCCGGGCAGGGGGAGCGGGCCGGGCTGGGGGAGCGGGCCGGGCAGGGGGAGCGGGCCGGGCAGGGGGAGCGGGCCGGGCAGGGGGAGCGGGGCGGGCAGGAGGAGCGGGCCGGGCAGGGGGAGCGGGGCGGGCAGGGGGAGCGGGCCTGGCCGGGCCGGGCGGGCCCGGCCGCCACGTGGCGCCGCTCGGGGCGCGGGGACAGCGCATCCTCCCGGGGCCGCGGGTCCGAAAGGGCTCCCCCCCGCCCCCCCGCGCGCGCGGCGGGTCGGCGAGGCCCGGGTCCCTGAGCCCCAGGCCCGCCTCCCCTGGCGGGGCTGCGCTCCTCCCCGGAGCCGGGCGGTGTCTTCTTGCTGCGGGGAAATCAGACCCGAAATTAGAGCCGGGGAAGCCCTTGGGGAGCTCCTGTGTCTGAGATCGGATGAACTGTAACATGGAAAAGGTAGATTATCTTGCAAGTGGGCTCGCCTTAGGGTGGCGGGTTACAATTTAACTCGCAGGCACGTGTCACAGGCGGTGAAGGTGGGTTAGTTCCCCGGCTGTGGGCTGTCATCCGGCCGCGTGGCCATCGCCGAGGGGCGAGGCTTCCCCTGTCCGCTCCTCGCTCCTGAGCAGGTGCCTCCTCCGCCCCAGGTCCCGCCCGCCCAGAGCAGCGTGAGCCCAGCGACACTGTCAGACTATGTGAAGAGCCCCTCCGCGGAGATCTGTTCCTCCGTGATGGAGAGGTATGAAAAAATCGGGAAAATTGGCGAAGGATCCTACGGCGTTGTTTTCAAATGCAGAAACAGGGACACGGGCCAGGTGGTGGCCATCAAGAGGTTTCTGGAATCAGAAGATGACCCTGTCATCAAGAAAATCGCCCTCCGAGAAATCCGCATGCTCAAGGTAATGGATTCTTTCCAAGTGAATGTTCAGGGGTAAAAAAAAAAAAAAAAAAAAAAAAAATATCCGGGGCATGTCATGTTAAATAAATGCCTTGTGATGTGGTTACATCTCCTTCCTTCATGGCCTTTGGATACAAGTGGGGCGTCTGAGCACAAGATGCCAATTATATAAGGAACTAGAAAGCAGAAGTGGGCAAGGTGGTATTCCCTTTCAGAGATGCTGTGGGGTAGTTTATGTTCCTTTCCAGTGGCTTCTCTTCTCTGTCACCTGTAGCGCTGGTCCTTCAAGGGCCATCCACTTTGACTGATAGAACAAGAGCACGCATGGTTCTTACACCCCGAGGCTGACTTCTGTGGATGGTCTTAGTCCATCAAGAGAATTGGTCATTCACCTGTTTTCCAATTGTTAGGAGGCTGACAGGTTCTCCTTACACCTCACATTTAGTTACTGCTGAGCATCGTGTTGTCCTGCCTCAAAAAGTGAAAGGATCGCTTTTAAGATGTTTATTAGTTAACCCTAGGAGACCATGATTTCAAACAGGGGCAGGGGGGATTGTTTATTGCAAGCTAAAACTATTTTTTTCCTCTCATGGAAAGATGCTTCCTCTCTGAATTCCTGTGAAGATGAACCCAAACTGCAAGGTAACCCGTGACATGTAATGAATGTGGTGGAGGTTAGCCTGGTTTTAAATAGCACCTGTGTTCTGACATGTGGACTAACTATGACAAGGAAAGAGCCACTCTGGGGGAGATGATGGACACTCGGGATTTTCTCCGTTTCCCCAGGCCTCTCGGAAAACCTCTTCTTTCCCCCAGGAAGTGGGTGTGTGGGCTGATCTCTGGGTAAGGATCCTGAAGGGGAGCAGCAGCGGCTTTGGATGGAGTGGATCCTGGGAACACTTTCTTCATTCGGCTCAGGATGCTCTTTACCTGGATGTTATCTGTTCTGAGAAGACACTTCCAACCAGCCCTCTTCCCGCAGTGCTCCCCTCAGGAGGGGTGAGCCCAGCAGTGTTCGGTGCTCACCGCCTGGGCCCCTCTGTCCCGCCTCCCCTCTCTGCACAGGGAGAGGTTCTCCCCATTTCTCTTGGGCCAGGGGACAGGTTTACACTTTCTCAGGCTTTCCTACAGGAGACGGTGATCATTGCATTTCAAAGGGTTCCTTTACTCCAAAGAAAAGAACGTTTCCTTCTAGTGGAGAGAGAGCGCCTGCTCCTGATTCTGAAGGTCACCCGCGATGCTTCTGAAATCTCTCACCACTCTTTAGGATTAAGGTGTTTACAGGTGTAGCTCCCTTAATTACCGGACTTCCTCCGGAATGGGGACCTCGCCTCTGTATCTCTGTATCAAATGTACTTGGCATTTAGTAGGCCTCCAGGAAGTCTTATTGTTGTGTGTTTTTTTAAAAGGGTTTAAAAAATAAGCTCTTGGGAAGGGGAGATGTTGCCAATAAGTTGGGGAGTCAGAGCTGCTCTCTTGAATAACTGAATATTGATGTGCTCTAAGGGGAGAGTTGTGTGCACAGCACCCCACCCTCCAAAATCAAGTGCACAGATGTAGACTCCCCTATCTGTATGAGGCGATGGGACTAGATTTCTGTAGAGACTGTCCCTTTAAGCCTCAACTTTTCAGAATTCTGTGATATTGCTAACACCATTATGGTACTTTGCTGAATAAGTGAATTGAGGGTATATTGAATAAAGTCATATTTTCCATTTATTTTCTCAGTAACTATTTATAGAGCCCCATTGTGCCTAAAACATGTTACACCAAGTTGCACGCCCTTTCAGATGTTAGCTTGTGGAAGGGAAGTCATTTCTTCTCGGCTCTCACTCAGGGTAGACTGGGCTCCTAATGGGCAGGCCTGTGCCATTCACCTGGTGTCTCCATGCCTGGCAAGAACCCTTTAAATGTCTGTTGAATAATGAAAACAAAGTGTTAGACTTTGAGATGTTTAGGGAAGCATGGAATGAGAAAGAAAGCATTTGGGGCAAACAGTCTATCCAGGGAGAAGGTGTGAGTGGAAAGCAGTATGTTGAGGGGCACAATTAGTAACTCCAGACTTGGACAAGATGCCTGCTGGGTGCCAACAGGCCAGGTAGAGGAGGAAAGGAAGCCAGGTCCAATGGGAGGGAGTGGGAGCACTTTCCTGGGAACACAGGTCTGGCCCTGGGATGTGATGGCTAGCACATGGCCGTACCTGGGTCCCAGCCGGCCTTTGGGGATTGGAGCCGGAGAACAGGAAATTGGCGATAGAGAGGAGAGAGGCAAGTGTTTTAGGGTGTCATCTGAACTGGAATTGAAGGCAGGGCTTAAGTGCTCATGGGAAGGAGAAGTACTGAGCTGTGAGCAAAACACAGTTCCCTGGGCCAGGGGAAGGCTGCAGCTCAGTGACTCGGAGAGTTTAAGTTCCTAGGTGCTCTTTGAATGTCCCTCACAGAGCTGGTGAGGTCAGGAGCTAGGGGCCAGGAGGGCTACGTCTGAAGGTACTCCAGTGACCTTAGCCAACGCAGGTGAGGACAGCAGGTGCTCATCACCTGGCTGCCCCCATTATATAAGGAAAGCCAGAAGGATAGGTCAAGGCTAGATGTAGAGGACTTTGAATGCCAAGCTAAGGGAAGCTAGTCAAGTGTTTGTTTTATTTTGTTGTTTTGTTTGTTTGTCATTTGTGGATATTTGGATTTCATGGACCAGTAATGTTTCAAAAAAAATTTTTGTTATTGTTATTTTTACAGATTGGGATAGGTTGCCAGCATTTTAATCCTCAGCCAAGGATATATGTTTATTTTTTCAATTTATTTGAGAGAGAGAGGAAGTGAAGGGTGGATAGAGAGAGAGAGAGAGAAACGTTGATGTGAGAGAGGAACATCAATCAGTTGCTTCCCATAAGTACCCTGACTAGGGATCAAACTCAGAACCTAGGTATGTGCCCTGACTGGGAATCGAACCTGCAGCCTTTTGGTGTACAGAACAATGCTACAACCACCTGAACCACCTGGCAAGGCAAGGTTTTCAACATTTTAAAACACCAACTACCAGCAACTATCATACTTCATAAATAGAGGGACATTTTAGTATTTTTTTAAAAAAAACCAAAAACTAGGAAAAACACAGTCTTTTTTTTTTTTTTTTTTGAAAAAAGCAATCTTTTCCAAAAGAGAGTTGACAACTATAAATAACATTTATGTACACTCATTTCTCTGATGTATTTGTGTTCAGTTTGTGTGTATGTGAGTATGTATGTGCCATTGCCCTTATTTTTCTCACTTCATTATCTGTTGATGAAAATGGCACATCATTTGTTTTGTGAAGCCTGAATCTCATGAAACTAAGCACTATGTCCGGAACAAGAGTCTCCATATCAGGTAATGTCCTGCTCAATAGGATCTGTATCTGATACAACAAAAAAACAGTACAAAAGAATTGAACGGTGTCTTAGAGTCTGTAGTAGAATTTGGTCTGTATCAATCCTCAGAGAAGTCCTAGAGTATCTGTTTTTAAAACTGTTCATTGAACAATTTAAAGCCACTCTCAATAGTTGCTATTGAACTCTTAAAAATATGTTTCCTCCTAAGCAGATATGACTGTAGAAATTAATTGTCCAGCAGTTGGCTTTGTAATTTTTAAGGCAGGGTATCTATAATGCTTCTAATTTTTGGTTTGATAGCATATATGAAAATGTCACTGTCCATTCAATGCTTTTGAAGATGATAATTATTATCAAGAAACCTATTTTGCTAATATTTTTAGAAAAAAAATTTTTCTGAAAATTTGAAACACTTTCAAATGCATTATTTTGTGCCATTTGAAAAAAAATGGGTGGTACATTTTTATGATAGTATTTGTACTAATAAACTGCTTCTTAAACTAAATATAACCATTCTTCACCAAAAGGTCCTACTGCAGTCAACCTTTTAATTTTTAATTAGATTTTATTCAGGTTAGATAATTAGGCTTTATTAAAAAAATAACAGTTGCTTCAGTTAAAATCAGTCAACTCATAACCTACTCTAAGAACAAATTAGCTTCTCTTCTAATGACAGTAATAAAATTATACTGCAATACCTGAGCTCAAAGCAACTATTCTACCCTTTCTCAAACTCATTTTCTTTTTTAAATTAAATTTATTAATAAGTTTATGTAAGTTTCAAGTGTACAATTCTAAAATAAATCACCTGTACATTGCAGTGTGTGCTCACAATTCAAAATTTGGTCTCCTTCCGTCACCATATATTTGACCACCTTTACCCACTTCAACTTCTCCCCACCTCTCTTCCCCTCTGGTAACCACCATACTGTGTTCTGTGTCAGTGAGGTTTTGTTTGTTTGTTTGTCAAACTCATTTTCCATTGTGGAAAAATAAAAGGGAAAAATTCAAAGTTTTGAGTTAGTGCTTTGATGAAACACCAGTGCATAATCTAGTTGACAAATGTTCATTTGGCAAGTTTTTACAGAACTCTTGCTATGTACCAGGCACTATTCTTGGCCTGTTTTCTCATAGGAAAGGAGAGACTGACATTAAACAAACAATTATATGTCAAGTGGTGAGAAATAAAACAAGATAAGAGAGAAAGAGTAATGGAGGGGCTTGCTTTTTATTTAGGGTGGTTAGGAAAAGCCTCTCCGAATAATGACATTTAAACAGAGACTAAAAGGAAATGTGAAGAGAGGACTCATTAACTATCTAGGAGATGAGCTTCCAGGCAGAGGGAACAAGTACAAAGGCCCAAAGCAGGGTCAAGTGATGGTTCTATGCACGTTCTCGTGTGTTTTAGGTGGAGCAAATAGGTCAGTGTGTCTGGAGCAGAGTAAATAAGGATGAGGAGGCTCATGGGAGAAGAAATTAAAGAGGTAAGGGGGTCAGGCATGAGGGCCTTGTGGGCCATGGTAGGGCCTGTGGATTTTACTTCGAGTGTTTTGAGTAGAGAGGTGCCTTAGCATATCTTATATCCTAGAAGGATTCCTCTAGCTGCTGGTTCCTCGGTCCACAGTCAGGAAGAT